AAAATTAAATAATTTTATAATTTAGAATTGAGATTCGAGATCGTGGATTGTGATAAGAATAAATCTTTTCGATGTATATATATACATATCTGCGAAAACACACAAAATACTTAACCCTTTACTGCACTATTTTTTGGGCCATGGAATTCCATCTAGTCCATTAATTGTCGCTCTCAAATTACACTGCGCAAGAAAGGGTTAAAACTAAAGCGCTAGCAGTTAAAATTCTGGTAAAGAATAAAAAAAATTAAGCGTTAAATGAAATTAAATTTTTCCTTTCAATATTAACAATTATTAGTAATTTATACCTTCATTCGTTAAAATTGTGATGAATATTTATCATGATTAAAAAATTAAATGAAATAACATAGAAGCGACTCTTGGTGATGTAGAATTTATTTTCGTTTTGCAGACACTGAATCGCATCATGAATGTAAGGAATGCATCTTAAAAATTTATCTTTATGAAATGAATAGATTGCATGAACACGCTTTGTTTTAAACAATTCATATCTTATTAGCTATATATGTTTTACTGTAAGAATAAAAAAAAGAAATAGCTGCAGAAGCCTTTTCTTAACTGTTAAATTGAAAGCCAAAAGTTCCCACTTTCAAAAAATATTTTCAAGTAACTGAAAAGAACCAGCGAATGTTTTTTAATGCTATCTCAAAATTCTTCAATAAAGCGGCTGACAAGTCTAGGATCACAATGTCAATAAGCTATCAAGTGGTTTATCGGAAATCAACGTTGCAAGATCTTTGTATGTTTTGATTTGGCTTTTCTCTCTCTTGACTCCATACAATTTAATTTCTCAATATTATTTTACCAAAGAATTTAACTTACTCTGAATGGTAGTTTCTGCGCAAAAAAAAGTGTCAACGCATTGTCGATAGCCACGACCTGGACTTGAAGCGTCGGTCCAATAACCATATTGAATTTGATATGGCCCACAAGACCTGCCATTATCTCCACATCTTACAGATGTACTGCAGCCAGACTCAACATTGCAAATACATCTCAAGCAAGTACTTGACACATAGCCTTAAAAAGAGTAATCTACAAAGTTTAGCGATATATTTGTGTAGCAGTAACGACATGAACGATATTTCATGCTATGGCTTAATTTTACAAGGAATATTCACACGATGAAATTTTATGTAAATTGTTCAAGTAGAAATTCTTCACTCACCTTGAACAGCATAAGGAAGAGCAACCAGCAACAGGCAAATATAAATGGCTGAAGACATCTTTTCGCTTTTCGTGATATTTTCCACGCTTTATAAAGTTTTAAAAATTCAGTTTGCTGCTTTCTCAGGTTCGATCTCTTCTGCAATGCTCTGAGATGACGGACGGCTACGCCTTTTTAATCACTCCATACCAGATGCTCTGAAAAAGATGTTTTGAATTTGTAATTTGATAAGGCTTAGTTATCATGCAGTTTTCGAAAGGTTATATCCTATGGGGTTTCGCTATTTAAAAGACTTAACACCCGTACAATGCCAAAAGATAAATTAACACAAATATTTTAGGTAATTAATGATAGTTTTTGTAGTTGTCCCGCAATCATAAAGAAACGTCAAAGGTTTCTGATTCTCTTTGCATCGTTTCTGCCACAACTGTAAAGTAAGTTGTCTATATAAGTGGTATTAATAACTTTGTATTAGTTAGCAACAAACGAAATTGCTTTTCAAGCACTGAATTGTCTAAACACTAATGTAAAATTGCAAAATTAATTGTTGATTTTCAGCAAAGCTGTCTTTACAAATTTATCTAGTACGGAACGGAAATTATTTAGCGTAATGATGTATCGGTACCGCTCAACAGTGCAGTAGAAAAAACATAACACGAAAAATTAATAACTATGGAAAGTCGATTGTTAAAGTACGAAGCTTTCCATTCGCTGCTGTCCAAATTGATGAACATTTTTGTTGATGCCAGTTGCATCAGCAAGTTGGCAAATGTGCCCAAAATTTCAGTCACTGAAAGCTTTACTGTCATTAATCACTTTATCCTTACTTGAAGAACTCCCACCTTCTTGCAGTTGTTTTGCTGAAAAAGCTGTTTTGAAAGGATTTTTGGAAAGTGTTTTTTTTTGCGAAGCAATGGCGGGTCCAGCGTTCCTCAAAATAAACTACAGATGCTTAATTTCAAATTCAAATTTCTTTCAGAAAAACATTATTGAATTTAAATTTCAGTACAATATCATTTTAACATTTGCCTCCAAAAGTTTCTTAGAAATGAAATTTTTATTTTAAAATGTGCTGCCGTAATTTTTTTTGACGTTCTCTAGATCCCCCAATGAAAATGAGTTTTTAGATGAAAGTTCACTGTCAATTTTGATATAGTAAAAATCTGCATGGATTCAAACAACAATTAGACAAATAATCAAGGCAACATTTTTAATATAACCATGATTTCGTAAGTAATTTTTACAAACAGTCTTTGAAGGCTTATCTCAGACTATATGAAAACAATAACTAAAGATGCGCCAGTGCGGCATGCTTTAAGTGGATTTAACGGTTGTTCAAGGAGGCGGTTATTCTTGTTTGCGTCTATCGCAATTGCAAGTTGGCAACAGGGTCAGTAAACACAAAAACATTCATGTACCGGATCAGGACTAATGTGATTGTTTAAACTTGTTGCTGTTTCGCTGAAAAGGATGTTTTGAAGAAAAGAAAAGTGTTAAATTACATTTATACGGAGAGAAGTTTCCATATGACGAGCTTTGAGAGAGAATGTCCACGAAGTCCCAGTATTTGGTTTGTCCTTCCTACTAGCACGCAATATAAACACCTTAGTAAGGAACTTTACAGGAAATGCAGAGTCAATTTCTTTACTAAACAACCTGTGTCATAGTGAATCGAAACCTTCATGGGCCTTAGAAACACATGATACACAAGACATTATCTTTTGTGTCTATAAGCGTTGTTAAGTCACTTATAGTGTAAAAGTAGGACACACAACTATGAAGTATTTACAGGAAAGCTATATACATTGTTGTCGTAGAAAACGCGATTAAAAATTGCTTATTTGTATGATATGGGGTTAAATCTACCTTTATGGAGAGTACCACAGGGTGGCTTATTGGCAAAACAAAACAAGAAAATGGCATGGTAGAAAATGCAGAGTGCGGTGTTATAGTCGTAGTGCTGAGTCTCGTCTTCCAAAGATACACACTTCTATTACATACTCCAAATTTCCACTTTATTCCCCCTGTGGAAAATGCAGAGTCTGTTTTAGAAATATGTACCTTTCAAAGAGGAAAGATTCACACTACCATACTGTGCACTCTGTATTTCTCACTATATGACACAAGAAAGCTGTATTTGCACATTTTAAAGTAAAATATAATAATATAACATTAACACTGTAGAAAGATTTGCTTCTTGAAAGTGTTAGAGAGAGAAATGTTTTTTTTCATCATTTTGTGGTGCAATTTGACATTTGCTGTTGACGACGTATCCACTTGGAATGCGCTGAAGCTGGCAATGACCTTAACGACCACAATTCTTAAAAAAAGTAACACTTGAATGAAAGAAACCAGCAGAAAAGACTTTTTCCATAACAAGAAAACGATCCCTTTTAAGTTATAATAAATGATGAAACCGTGAGTTGTTAAGAACGTGTACCCCAAATCAGAAATAACACATATTACACCATTTGCCCGACATCATGGGGAAATAAATGTTTATTTGCATCAGAAGGTCAGCACATTAACGCAGCTGTAATTTCATTACGTCATTGGAAGGCCAATAACTTAATTTAATATGCATGTTTACAAATAAAATATACTTTATAATTACGTCAAGTGAAATCCCAAGAGAGTGATGGTGTATTTAACAGTGTAATTTACACCAGAAAAAAGTAAACTCTATGAGTCGTAATATATGAAATGTTAATTAGACAATTGGAAAAATCATTTGCACAATTTTACTTATGTATCGCTGTAGATTAGATTTGTGTCAAAATCATGATGTACTTTTAGCAATGGCTTTAGATATTTAGACCAGCTATGCTACGTTCGGAAGACGCACTTCAAGAATTGGCGAAATGAAATATTTCTCTCTATTGCAAACCGTCAATTTTGCATTTGTATTTGTTTCCTTAGCTAAGAAAATATTGATTTTTACTGCTGATTTGAGAATGCTGCTATGTACCGCCTCATTAATGAAATATGTTCGTCATTCCTAATAAATGTAATCAGTCACGTGATCTTAGAAACAATAATTTATTTCAGTTATTGCTCAAATCAAATCTTATAATTTTTACTTTTTCAAAGGTTTAATAAATGTTAAAAAAATATAGCTATCCAATAGATAACGTTGTCCAGACTTCGTGCAACCGGCCCTAGAAGTGCAATTTGACCAACTGTAATAGAAAGTTTTAGTTCACTCTCAGTCATCCACATTGTATTACCCGTGAAGACAACGTGATAATGAAATCTATCTCCTTTTCACAGAAGAATCTGGAAATTTCATCTTTAAATCTTAGTTTTATAACCAAGGAGAACGCATAGCTATACGTATTAGAGGAGATTATTTTGCATGTTAGGCACACGAGTAGCGAAGCCTGCACGTTTTTTACTCATACAATGCTAATAATTTTGGGTTTCATCACCGGAAAAACAATAAATGGAATTAATTTTCGAAAGAAATGAATATTAACTTTGGTGAAAATTTGCTTTGTAGGAGTAAAATATCGAGCTGGCATATCACCATGATTCACGATCATATTTTGTAGAACAGTTTTTAATGAACACTTAGCTACCATTATAGTTAAGTCTTATTTAGAAATGAGGTTTAAATTCCTCCTCGCCCTTAAAAAATATTAAGTCTAGGGGTGATATTATATATAAAACCAGATTATCATAAACAGCTAAAGCATGCTATATACGGATTCTTTGAATCATTATCTTCAAAAAGTCGTTAAAAATGAACAAGAAACAAACATGACTATTTTGAAAGCATTTGACAGTGGTCGACAATTCACTTTCAATGCAATTTGATTTTTTAATGCAATTTAATTAAATGAGGACAACTAAATCAACTACAGCAACTTTATGTAAAAATTCTCAAATTTATGATGTGATATATTAACGTCCACATATCGGGGTTGCCACAGTAACATCTAGCTGTATCGAGTACATCCCTCGTTCCGAATTTTTTGCCAATAACCAAGAGTTGAAGAGCTCCTGTATCCATTTGGTCCACCATTATGAATTCGAGCATAATCTTCACACGTAGGATTGTGGCCAAGTCGAGCATAGGTGGCGTACCTGTTCATATAATCTGTAAACAAAAAATTTTAAGAGTTGTTTTGAAAAAAATCTAAATAAATTTATAATTTAGAATTTAGATTCGAGATAGTGGATTTTGAAAAGAATAAATCTGTTCGATATATATATATATATATCTACAAAAACACACAAAATATTTAATCCTTTACTGCATTATTTTTAGGGCCATGGAATTCCATCCAGTCCATTAATTGTTGCTCTCCAGCTACACGGCGTAAGAAATGTTTAAAACTAAAGCGCTAGTAGTAAAAAAAATTAATTGTCAAATGAAATTAAATTTTTCCTTTCAATATTAACAATTATTAGTAATTTATACCTTCATTCGTTAAAATTGTGACGAATATTTATCACGATTAAAAAATTAAATGAAATAACATAGAAGCGACTCTTGGTGATATAGAATTAAGTTTCGTTTTGCAGACACTGAATCGCATCACGAATGTAAGGAATGTATCTTAAAAATTTATCTTTATGAAATGAATAGATTGCATGAACGCGCTTTGTTTTAAACAATTAATATCTTATTAGCTATATATGTTTTACTGTAAGAATAAGAAAAAGAAATAGCTGCAGAAGCCTTTTCTTAAGTGTTAAATTGAAAGCCAAAAAATTCCCACTTTCCAAAAATATTTCAAGTAACTGAAAAGAACCAGTGAAAGATTCATAATGCTATCACAAAGATTCTTCAATAAAATGGCTGACAAGTCTAGGATCACAATGTCAATAAGCTCTCACGTTGTTTATCGGAAATCAACGTTGCAAGATCTTTGTATTTTTTGATTTGGCTTTCTCTCAATTGACTCCATACAATTTAATTTTTCAATCGTGTTTTACCACAGAATTTAACTTACTTTGAATGGTAGTTTCTGCGCAAGAAAAAGTGTCAACGCATTGTCGATAGCCACGACCTGGACTTGAAGCGTCGGTCCAATAACCATATTGAATTTGATATGGTCCACAAGACCTTCCATTATCTCCACATCTCACAGATGTACGGCAGCCAGACTCAACATTGCAAATACATCTCAAGCAAGTACTTGACACATAGCCTTAAAAAGAGTAATCTACAAAGTTTAGCGATATATTTGTGTAGCAGTAACGACATGAACGATATTTCATGCTATGGCTTAATTTTACAAGGAATATTCACACGAAGAAATTTTATGTAAATTGTTCAAGTAGAAATTCTTCACTTACCTTGAACAGCATAAGGAAGAGCAACCAGCAGCAGGCAAATATAAATAGCTGAAAACATCTTTTCGCTTTTCGTGATATTTTCCACGCTTTTACAAAGTTTTAAAAACTCAGTTTGTTTCTTTCTCAGGTTCGATCTCTTCTGCAATGCTCTGAAATGACGGACGGCTACGCCTTTTTAATCACTCCATACCGGATGCTCTGAAAAGGATGTTTTGAAATGGTAATTTGATAAGGCTTAGTTATCATGCAGTTTTTAAAGGTTATATCCTATGGGGTTTAGCTATTTAAAAGACTTAACACCCTTGCAATGCCAACAGATAAAACAGCAAAAATACTTTAGTTAATTAACAATAGTTTTTGTAGTTGTCCAGCAATCATAAAGAAACGTCAGAGGTTTCTGATTGTTTGTGCATCGTTTATGCCACAACTGTAAAGTAAGTTATCTATATAAGCGGTAATAATTTCTTTGCATTAGCTAGCAACAGACCAAGTTGCCTAAATTGGATTAAATTGTCTAAAAACTAAGGTAAATCGCATGCTTAATCGTTGACTTTTCACCAAGGGTGCCTTTATGGATTTATCTAGTACGGAACGGAAATTAGTTAGCGTAAAGATGTATCGGTACCGCTCAACAGTGTAGTAGAAAAAACATAACACGAAAAATTATTTAATATGGAAAGTCGTCAGTTAAAGTACGAAACTTTGCATTCCCTGCTGTCCAAATTGATGGACATTTTTGTTGATGCCAGTTGCCATAACAAGTTGGCAAATATGAGTCTAAAAATCTTAGTCACTGAAATCTTAACTGTCATTAATCTCTTTATCCTCACCTGAAGAAATCCCACCTTGCTGTAATTGTTTTGCTGAATAGGCTGTTTTGAAAGGATTTTTTGAAAAAATATAAACTATAGATGCTTAATTTTAAATTCAAATTTCTTCTAGAAAAGCACTATTGGTTTTAAATTTCAGTAGAATACTATTTTACCATTGGATTTGCCTCTTAAAGGTCCTTAAAAATAAAAATATGTTTTAAAATGTGCTGTCGTAATTTTTTTTGACGTTTCCTAATCCGCCACTGAAAATGAGTTTTTAGATGAAAATTCACTGTCAATTTCGGTAAAGTGAAAACCTGCACGGGTTAAAATAAGAATTAGACAAGTAATCAAGGCATCATTTTTAATATGTCCATGATTTCGTAAATAATTTTTACAAATAGACATTCAAGGCTTATCTCAAACTGTTTGAAAACATTAACTAAAGTTGTGGCAGTGCGGCATGCTTTAAGTGGATTTAACGGTTGTTCAAGGAGGCGGTTATTCTTGTTTGCGTCTATCGCAATTGCAAGTTGGCAACAGAGTCAGTAAACACAGAAACATTCATTTGCCGGATCAGGACTAATGTGGTTGTTTAAACTTGTTGTTGTTTTGCTGAAAAGGATATTTTGAAAGGATGTTGTGAAGAAAAGAAAAGAATTAAACTATATTTATACAGAGAGATGTTTTAAAATAACGAGCTTTGAGAGAGAATATCCATGAAGTCACAGTATTCGGTTTGCCCTTCCTACTAACATGCATTATTAACACCTTAGTAAGGAAATTTGTATGAAATACAGAGTCAATTTCTATACTAAACATCCTGTGTCATAATGAATCGAAACCTTCACGGGCCTTAGAAACACATAAAGTAAATGGTTTGAACCCGGGAGTATCGTTATATGTTTGTAAATGATGATCGTCCAGGTTAATAAAGTCCTGAGAAGGACTGTTTTTGTTGTTGTTGACTGACGTTTGACAACCTTAGCAGTAGTCCTCTTCACACTAATCCACAATGACAATACACATTTCCTGCACATTTTCTGTACACACAATACAATGACGTAAGAACCAGACAACAAATACGGCTAACCTGACGTTTACTCCTCATTTGACTCTGAAGATGACTACCGCTAAGGTTGTCGAAACGTCAGTCAAAAACAACAAAAACAGTCCTTCTCAGGACTTTATTAACCTGGACGATCATCACTTAGAAACACATGATACACAAGACATCGTTTTTTGTCGCTATAAGCGCTGTTAAGTCACTTATAAGTGTAAAAGTAGGACACGCAAGCATATAGTATTTACAGGAAAGCTATATACATTGTTGTTGTAGAAAAATACGTTAAAAAATTGCTTATTTGTATGATATGGGGATAAATGTACCTTTATGGAAAGTACCATGGGGTGGCTTATTAGAAAATCAAAACAAGGAAATGGCATGGTAGAAAATGCAGAGTGCACTTAATTCCCCCTGTCGAAAACGCAGAGTCTGTATTAGAAATATGTACCTTTCGAAGAGGAAAGACTCTGCCTTCCTACTGTGAACTCAGCATTTTTTCACTATATGCCACAAAAAAGCTGTGTTTACACTTTTTAGGGTAATATATAATAATGTAGTATTAAGACTATAGAAAGATGTGCTTCTGGAATATGTTAGGAAGATAAATGTTTTTCTTCATAATCCTGAAGATAAATTCCGCTTTTAGACTTGCTTAAATGCTCCGTATTTTTGCGATGTAATTTGACATTTGCTATTGACGATCGACTTATCCTCTTGGAATGCGCCGACGCAAGCACCTAATCACAACTCTTTAAAGAAGAAACCCTTGAATCCTTGATACCTTGAAGAAACCTTAATCTGGCTCATGCTGGTCACCAGGGTATTGTGAAGGCAAAAAGTTGCTGCGCAAAAAATTATGGTTTCCATCAATCGACAAGATGACCGCAGAAAAAGTCCTGCCTTCCGTGTCAAGCAGCAACTACAGGTGAATTACTCGTAGTTGTTGTTGATGAATTTATCAGATTCCCAGAAGTAGAAATTGTTTCTAGTACAAGTGACAAGACTTTTATTCCAAAGTTAGACAATATCTTTTCTCGACAAGGAGTTCCTGTTGTCTTAAAGTCCGACAACGGCTCACCTTTAATACTTATGAATTTCAACAATTCGTATGTTACCTTGGACTCAAAACCGAAAAGTCACTCCGTATTCGCCAAGTGTGAACGGTGAAGTTGAACGCCTGATGCGTACCCTTGAAAAGGCTATCCGCGCAGCAGCATATTTAGAGAAAAAAAATTGAAAGCAAGCTTTGTATATTTTCCTACGACAATATAGAGCTACTCCTAATAGTACTACTAATATTTCACCTTTTGAGGCCCTCAATATGGTCGAATACTAAAGATTCCTCTTCCAAGCTTTGTTGAAGACAAGCAAAGAGATGCATATCACTCAATACGAAAGCGTGATGAAGAAACGAAGGAAAACATGAAGAAATATGCTGACCATCGACTTAACGCTAAGGTTAGTGAATTGGAAAAGGGAGGCACAGTCTTGATTCCACAACAAAAGAGAAACAAGCTAACAACACCTTTTAATCCAAAACCTTTTAAAGTTTATGCTCGGAAAAGAAACATGGTTATACTTTTAAGCGCGGTCCCCTTAAGCTAACCCGTAATGTATCATTCTTTAAAAAGATCAAAAGCTCTGAAGCTGGTATGGCAGATGATGATAGTAATGATGATTATGTTGATTATATTACAAGGAACAAAGAATCTCCAGAAAATAATCAAGAAACTATTCCATTAAGAAGATCGCAGAGAACAAGACGAAAACCCAAAAGACTTGGGTGTGATAATTAATTATGGACTACACATTGGGTTAGGCACAATAAAGACAGTTAAGAAAAAAAAATCTTGATATTTAAAATTAGAAAAATTTTAATAAAGTTTAAGAAAGTATATATTTAGGTATTTAGAACATTAACATTTAAACTCAAAGAAACATGTCCGTATCTAAACTGGGAAGAGGTGTTGTATAGATTATATGAGAAACTTTTGTTTCGAGTGTTTTTAACTCGCGAGCATGTGCATCCCTCGACCTTTGGTCTCGGGCTTGCCTTTGCTATGGCAACATTTGCTCTATGGTAGAGTATAATTTTTATTAATAGATACAATTACTCAAAGTGGTGTGTGGTGAAGCCAATAGTTTGCAATTGCAACATTACGATCTCGAATTTGGTAAATAACGCATACATATTACCAATTTTTATGATTGTTGCATATATAATTGATAATTATAGTTACAACATCCAATTTATGATTGCTTTTACAGAAATTTCATTGTGAAAGAATAAGTCAATTTCATGATAAACTATATAAAACCTCTTAATTTTTACAGATGTTGTTTAGCTGTATCGATTGCATCCCGCTCTCAGAATTTTTCACCAGTAGTCGAGATTGGCAGACTAATAGTATCTATTTAGTCTACCATTATGAATTCGAGCAACATGTTTACATGAAGAATTGCGTCCAAGTCGAGCTCGGGTAGCATACCCATTTATATAATCTTCAAATGGAAATAAAAAGATAGTTGAGATTTGAAAGAATTGAGTCAGTTATTATCAATTCAAACCTTAAGATTTAAGAACCATACGAAAATACGTTTTACGTATAGTTCCGCTTCACAGGGCCGTAGAAAAAGACGAGGAAAAAAATTTATCAGTGGAAAGTCACCAATTAAAATACGCAGCTTTCCAAGGATGGATGGATATTTTTTCGTTCGTGCCAGCTACAAATGCATATTGGCAACAGTAAAGACGAAAAAAATTAGTCTGTTATAGCTTCATTATAGTATCAATCACGGTTTTATCACGTGACAGACCCATGCATTGTATTAATTGTCAGTTTGCTGAAAAGGATGTGCATATTTGAAAAGGGTTATTTATCAATTTTGAATAGTTATAACGATATCAGTTGCCAGAACATGCGACCTTTAAGGGAGATCATATTTAATGACTCTTCATTTCATCCAGATCATGTTTACAAACGCGGGAAAACATTTTAGTAAAGATTCATGGGAGAAAGTTTCGCAACAATATAAATGGTTTGAACCCGGGAGTATCGTTACATGTTTGTGGATGTGGATCATCCTGAGAAGGACTGTTGGTGTTGATATTGACTGACGTTTCTGCAGCCTAAGCTTTGGGGTCGAGAAAACTCTGCAAGATGTCATCTCTTAAGAAGTCATCTCTCAAGAAGTCATCTTTAAAGAAGTCCTCTTTCAAGAAGTCATCTTTCAAGATGTCATCTTTCAAGAAGTCATCTTTCAAGAAGTCATCTTTCAAGAAGTCATCTTTCAAGAAGTCATCTTTCAAGAAGTCATTTTTCAAGAAGTCATCTTTCAAGATGTCATCTTTCAAGAAGTCATCTTGACAGTTTTCTTGACTCTGAAGATGACTACCGCAAAGGTTGTTGAAACGTCAATCAACACCACCAACAACAGTCCTTCTTGGGATTCTACTAATCTGGACGATCTACATCAACAAACTCGTTAAATTTGCCAACGTTAAATGTTTTTATGAAATTAGTCATTTTCATTGTTTTATTCATCAAACGCATGGTTATTAAAGCATTTTTTGTTTTTACTATTTTTAGAATGGTATTCGTGTGCATATTTACACGCAAACACATTTTCTCAAGAATTAATTATTTACATGAATTGGCAATATTACAAATCTGGATTTGGTTTAAGAAGTTTCCCAAAGTGCGTCGCTTTACTTCCGACGAATGCCTCATATCTGTTCACAATTTCATCGTAGGTCAACACATGATCCTGTAGAATAATGATAATTTATAAATATATATAATATATATATAAATTATAATTTATAAAAAGAAACAAAACAGTTACAGAGTTATGTATATCTTACATAAGTTAGTGTGCCAAGAGGCTAGAGTACATATGTATATAAGATTATGATGGACTTACATAGTTCTAGTAGATCTTATGAGTTTCATGCATAGCAAACATGGGCGGGAGGGGGAGGCTACTGCATTAGCTTCCAGTGAAATCAAATGTGATTACGTATTGTACAGTGTGAATATATGAATGGCACCCCCCGTCTTCCCCCAACGTAGCATTTTAAGTCTCAAGATTTCACAAGCATGCAGTTAATTATTTTATACGTGAAGGTCTAATAAGAATGGCTTTTAACCTACCTATCCTGATCACATGACTATCAGATACTCAATAAACTTTTCTGAAATATTTATCAACATTTGGAGCTTACCCTGTTTAGATCAGCTTGGCTCAAAAGATGCATTGCTTCATTACTGACCGTATATGCGTCATTAGGGAGAACCCAAGGAGCTAACTCGTCCTAGAATTAAATGTTTGTAACTGCAGTATATATTGTTTACAAAATACGGCATGAATTCCTGACATAAATTATCGTGATATAAATTATCGTGACATAAATTATCGATTTTAACTATTTAGGAAGTCTTGCCAGCTATGTAAATTATTGTAGTGGTTCAGTTATTTTGACATTTTGTCCGCCTCAGATTCAACAAAAAGACCTCAGTTAGAACAATCCTTGATATCATGCTCTGTCACATACAGTTATTATAATTATCATACCTCTGTGTGGCAATCTTAATTGTAATTGACTAATAACCAACAGTTAATTGTTTTTGATGTGCCACTTAACCCCGTAACGATTAATAAAAAAGTTAGTTGTTGCGTTGAAAATTATTAATTTTTTTAGCAATATACTTTACGCTTTATACTTTTGTGAATGACAACTGAACAAACTTTCCATCTCATTGTGCATTCGCACTTAAATTGAAGTGCAATTAACCCATCTTTTCCAAGAATGCACTAACACTGGACTTTGAAAAACGCACTTCAAATTGTAGTTTTTCCATCACTCGGTTAACCAACCTTGCTCAGTTTTCCATCTTTATTTTTATCAAGAGGAGCAAACTCGCCAACAGTAGCATAGAGATCTAAATCACTAAGTCTTCCAGCACTACCACCTATAAAAATATTGTAATACATGAAATTTTTTACCTTTTTCTCGAATTCACACATTTTACGAGAACTGAATTTCAATTGAAATTGTTTACTAGAAAATGGCCGCAATATTAAAACTTTTATCTCCTTCCTCAAATAAAATTTTTTATTTAAAAGCGATTCAGACCTTCAGTCAAATCGTTACACAAATTGTTTTAAATTCTTTGTAATAAGTGCTTTAATAAATTCTTTATAATTATGTTTGACAAACAAAAAATAACGGATCGATACTGCAAATATAATAGTTTCCAACCTGAAAATTCTTTGAGAGATAGCAATCCATCATTGTTTGTATCCAGAGCCTCTAAGTTTTCCTTAATAAAAACAAATTTCCACTGTGAATGACGTGAGGAGTTAATAATAGGGGTTAGTGTTGTCTCTTTGATGGTGAAAGATTTAATGGCTTCTTACCTCGGCAACAACATCCGTCATGTAAGAACTTTCTTCGGGATGCAAGAAAAATATCAGTTCTTCCCTGCTTAACTTACCATCACCATTCATGTCTGCTTTCTAAGAGCATAAAGAATAAAATTTGGAATCATGAATGAAGGAGAACCGTTCACATAGAAACTAGTCTACTTGTATAAAAAATCTCTTTGTAATTTAAAAGATATCTTTAAATAAGTAAAAATTTACTTTGGTGCATCAAAAACATGCAATAGAAGAGGATAATAGTCGTAATAGTATTGAAATCTTATTAAAGACACAAAGACAACTAAAAGTCTTTATAATTTTCAAGTTAAGGTGTGTGCGTAATGACGTTTTACCTTAAATTTACTTTCTATCCAGTTTCTGTTGTGATGCACGAAAATTTGTAAGCAAAAACAAATTTGTTAATATACGGGCTGATACCATTGAAATGGCCAATATAAGCTAACTTAAGTTTTTCAATGTCTACTTTAAATAAACTATCGATTATGAGCGGCATAAAGATATTTATAACTATAAATTGAACATTGTAAATTCTCATCCCTAGCTCTCAAGTGAACACATACATTGAAAGTAAGCCAACAACCGAAAAAAACTAGTTATTTTTGCCATGGTTACAAAGCCACAATCGTAGTTTACATTTTCCGTTATCTCAAGAGTACTCGTGCGTTGTTATGGAAACACAAAACTTTACTAAATTCCTCGAGGTGTTTTAAACTCCTTACAACGAGATTTTCCCTATTGCCCACTCTTCATTTATAGATACTTACATCAAAACGTCGTTTTTCTGAGTCCAGTATATTTTTCTGTTTGGGACTGTTTGCAACGGAAAATCTTGCCACGTATTCATTCCATGAGATATGATCGTCTTTGTTCATGTCCCATTCCTTTAAACGATCGTTCGTATTCTTTAATGAATACCGTTTCATATTACTCTCGATCCAGTTCTCCATCTCGTGAGTTGTGATCTTTCCATCTTTATTTACGTCAATCCTCTCTGCAATTTGCCTAAATTAGTAAAGATTTTTCATTGACTTGTTACCTTTTTATAATTTCATTAATTTCAAAGGCCACACAACAAAGCTTAGCTCAAACTTTAAAGCAAGGAAAATTATTTAAACTTCTTATCTGATGTAAGTTTAATTCTTCGGTTACCACATCATGTATAAATAACCAAATATTTATCATTTTATCGCGATTCCTTGCGATTATATCTCTTTAATCTACCTCCTCGCAGGTAAATTTTTGAAACAATCGAAGTATTCAATCACCTCAGTCTTTTCTTAGCAACATCTGGATCGAGATTATCAAACTTTAGAGCTTCATCTCGACCCAGAAATATATCGTGATCATACGCTGTATCGTGTTCGGCACTATCACTGTAATGATGGTGATTGGATAAAGCTCCTCTAGGAGCTGATGCGATTGGTGGATTATGCTGTACATGGCTTATGATCGAGGGACAGTAAACCACCAGAAGCAATACAGAGACCAGGGACACGCCATTCCAAAACATAGCCGTTTCGTTCAGAGTTGGTGAATGCTTTGTGATGTTCACTTTCAGATAAAGATACCAATAATGAATTGCATTCTGCTTTAAATAAAGTCGAGTGAAATATAACACAGCAAAGTTTCTTTGTAACATTAAAATGTCATGGAAACGTTAGGCTGATGCAAATGGAATGGTGATTGATATCTTTGATATTTTCTTTGATCAACTTTGCTGTCTAAGATTGACAAAGTTATTTAAAAAAGCAAATATTTTACAAGGGAGTTTGATATTAAACAAAAAACATGCCTGTCTCCTTTTAGATGACTATAGTTTCTTTCAATGCCAATAGGCGTATTTAAATGGTCGTAAAGTTTGTGTTATGCTTTCGTCAGATCATATAGAGTTGACGTGAAATTTCGAGTTATTTAGGTACTGCAAGTAATTAAAAAAACCCTAGAAACTAAGCAAATGTTAAAGTGTTAAAGAGACAAAATAATTTGATGCCACAAATTGAATCACATAAATGCAAGACAGAAAGCGCATTTGACAAATAAAGGTGAGTCCAGGTTTGCAAGATCAGGTCATTTCAAACATGTTACAGTGTTTTGTCATCACATTTTAAATAAATGGATAAGTAGGGCATTAATTTTATAAACTGCTTTACATGAGGTAATGATCTCAACTCAACTCAATCTATTTCCAGTATCATTAAACCAGATTAAACCTTTCAGCCAGAAGAAGTCATAACTCTATATAAAATGAAGGAAAGATGAAATAATTGATTGAAATCATAAGAACTACTCATTTGCTTTTACATAAAAAATTCTTCACCTAGTTTCTGCACTGTACATAGCTCTAACTAGTTTTAAACAATGTTGGTTTTATATCATGTTAACATGTTTGTGCGTAAAATTTCAACATTGGGAGGCAAGGAGATCATGTATTATAATCGTGGAACAGCTATGCAAAAGCATGAAAGTAAACTTAGAATTACTTAGAGTCTCCTCAACCCACGTTTCTCTATACTTTTCTGTCGACCAAATAAAATCTTTTGATCAATTATGTCTCTTTATGTCCAAAATTTCTTTGTATTTTTTTCGTTCTTGAAAGTCTTTCACATAAAATGAAACATGAATTTTTAATGCTTTTTGTTTTAGTTGCAAATGACGTACGTAAACAGCGCACGTTTCAAAGTTTCTTTGATAAAATGAGAAACAAAGCACGGTTTTGACAAAAATGAAAAAATGCCTAGCTGTCAATGAAACATGTTGTTGCTCGTAGGGAGGTACTCTTGCTTGTGATAAAAACGTCAGGTTTGTAAATTATTGTCAAAAAACTAAAATGTTAAAGCTTTCATGATGAAGGAAGCAATACATTTGTGATCAGTTTTAAGTATCAACAACGATTTCAATGTACTCTCATCAACTTATTCATGCACGAAATTAGCATGGCAACAAGATTATAAACTATAAAGGAATACACACGCAAATTCAACATTGGCATCCTTATTTCTTACACAAGTAGCTTGGGTACGTGGGTTGAGGAGACTCTAAGTAATTCCAAGTTTACTTTCATGCTTCTGCACAGCTGTTCCACGATTATAATACATGATCTCCTTGCCTCCCAATGTTGAAATTTTACGCACAAACATGTTAACATGATATAAAACCAACATTGTTTAAAACTAGTTAGAGCTATGTACAGTGCAGAAACTAGGTGAAGAAATTTTTTATGTAAAAGCAAATGAGTAGTTCTTATGATTTCAATCAATTATTTCATCTTTCCTTCATTTTATATAGAGTTATGATTTCTTCTGGCTGAAAGGTTTAATCTGGTTTAATGATGCTGGAAATAGATTGAGTTGAGTTGAGATCATTACTCCATGTAAAGCAGTTTATAAAATTAATGTCCTACTAATCCATTTTTTATAACTAATATACTATAGAATATGCTTAAATAGCTAATTTTGTCATATCTTTTAAAGAAAAAACATACAAACACAGAAGTACATAAAAAATTAATTTACGTTCAAAAGGCTTAAGTAGCTACAGCAACTTTTTTGGTCTTGGAAAAACAAAATAATTCAACAAAAATATTGAGCTAGTTCCATTTCTCACAGCTCAGCTCATAGTTCCAGTTTACAGCTATTAAAGTTGAAAACCACTTTGTCTGCAATGTATTTATCGCGACATGAACATGTAAACTATAATCATGTTCTTCATTGTTTCTAATGCAGGTTCATTTCTGCGTGGGAAGAAATTATTTTCAACAATGAACAGAAAAAAAACAAGTAACAAAACGTCTCAGTCGAATAGATTTGTCAAAGATTGGTAAACGAAGCAAAAATGGAGCACTTCTTTAAAACAATGACAATCAAAAGTTGGCATTAGCAATAGAATCGCGTTAATATTCAGTGTTTATCGAAAGCATTAATTTGTTTTTTTTATGTTTTCAAAGAGAAGTTGTATTTCCATGGACAAATATCGTACGCTGTGATTTTACATCTGGTGCAGCAAACACACAAGGCATAGCAAAAAAACAAACATCTTCAACAGCACTACACAAAAATCGAAAATTTTCTGAAGACCTCAAACAGGGTTACGTACAATAATTGCAAGTGTGCAAATTTAACCCCCCCCCCCTTTCTTTCAATAAATTTAATATTCTTTGTCCGTTTTCAGCAGTAGATTTTGGTAATACAAAATTTACGAAAAAGCTTTCCCATTGAGCATACGCATGCGCAATGATAACGCATGTGGAATTATAACGTATGCGCAGTAACGTACGTGCAAATGTTGGAAATTTCAGGATTTGGTAAGTAGCTATAGAGTATAGGTCAGCGCCCTTCACAAAAACGCGTACAAAATTCCAGAAGAAATGATTTACTTTACTATTTATCTTTCCCACGTACATTGTACTTTGTGGAGAGTATATTTTAGCGCATTTATGCAAAACTACCTTGCTTTTAATCGATAGAAAGTTAAATTGTTTCAATGTACGATTTAAAGTTCGCTCTCCTGTTTTACAAAAAACCCACGAACAACTAAAAAAACCAAAGATGCTGGAAGTGATTTTACATTTTTTTGAATTTAATGCCAAAAATAACATTAAACGCAGAGATCAGAAGTTCAAAAATAAGTTCGACAGATGCTGCAACACTACTACAGTGACTACAGAGGGGTTTGACACAAGAAAAGCCATCACGTGATTTGTATTTACGTATACATGCTCGAAACACGTGGACATTTAACAAACAATAACTACTAAGAACAATAAAATCTAGATAGCTTACATTATCTACATTATAAATATGGTCTTTTTTGTTAACTAGCTACGTATGATTAGGTTGAATTGGGTATGAAGATGTAAGTTGATGAATACTTTTCGGTCATGAACGAACTTGTAAACCTCTCGATGCGGCAGCATACGAGAAAAGACAGAGAACAGCATAACAGACATCGCTTGCCTATAAATATGAAAAAGATGAGGTCATTTTTATTGCACGTACATCTTCAGTATGAAAACACTTTCATAACCAAAAATAACATTCAATATAAGACCACGTGAAAAAGGAAGAAAACAATACAAAATAAGGCCTTATGGACTATTTGCTTCGGTTTACTCAATCAATAAAAGAGAGAAGTTTTCATAGGAACTTTGGAGTGACTAGTAACAATAAGATTATTATAGAAATATTTGGCATAAATGTACACACAACTTAAATATATTGTGCATCCATTTGTCCTTTCCTTTTTATAAGTCTATAATGCTACAACAATCCTGGTTATTGCTTTATTCGAAACAATATTCACCCCCCCTCCCCTCCCCTCCCTCCTTATTTCGCTAACAAACCAAAGAGTGTAATAATTGAGAATGATCTTTCAAAAAACCTACCATGGTTGATTTGAATTTGTGCTGGATTTCTTCTTGGGTTATGGGATCTGGTAAATTGAAACAACAATAGCATAGTTATTAAAGTTGGTATTTTACTGGCATCAATTCAGTCAACAGTTCATTATCAATGAAGATGAGAAAAGTTCAACCAATAATTTAATCAATGTCCATATTACATTCATGAATACACAAGCCTGAATACAAACCAAATTCATCAATGACAAGAATTCCTCGTTGAGTGGAGCAGTTTTTGATGCGATTCAGATGAAGGTGGATCTAAAAAATAAAATCATACGTACGTAGATACATTGCGAGCATCTTATGATAAAGAGGATCACTCAGGGGATATCAACTACATTTACCACTATGTCATAAATAAGCAAATTGACCTGTTTATCTTTAAATTTAACAGTAATTCCATCCAAAGAAACTTCGAGAATACCGACTTGACCACTTTCAACGTCCTGCAAAGAAACAAACTTATAGTCTTCAAATGAGTTTGCAATAATGTGAAAATGCATGCGTTGATTCGTATATAAAGCACTCGATGTGTTTTTGAATTAAAGTATACGATCCACAGAGAAGCTTGACCTTTGAGAAATATGTAGTTTCGTTAACTTTTAGACGGTACTTTGCGACGGTATTACGACCTGTGCGTAGGCTAAAGAGAATTTACAGACTGGACGGCATCCCAGAAAGCAGGCAATTCAAGTTCAAGTGAATTATACACCATACCTGTGCAGGGAACTTTCCTCCAAGTTGAGGACCTATATAAATATGATATTATATCATGGAGTCATGTTATACATTACAGATACGTTAGACTGCTTTCTACAAGTTTCGCTGAACGTTGAATGACACTAATTTCAACAAGCTGTAAACAGAGCTGGTGGCGTAAGAAGAGAAGGGATGAGATTATGGTGACCAAATTACACAGTAATTTAAAGTGCCCATATCACCCTCGGGGAAACAAACAATTTAGATAGAGTTGACGATTTTAAGAACATTTGTAATAGATTTTATAAAATGATTTTATATAGATCTTCTTTGACGTTTTGCAACTCAAAGTTGGCTTTTTCGTGTTTGACCGCGAGGTGCTTTGACTGGGTCCACGCGATAGAGAACACGATGCTTTTTAACGCTGTAGCATTATAGTGCTAAATCAATAAAAAAGAGCACGGTAATACACAAAATTAATAAAAATAAATTCCTCGACTTTGCAAAAAATGTCATTATAAAATACAGCGTTAAAAAGCTTCGTGTTCTCCAATGTACGTCAGCACCGGTGAACGAGACTCAGTCCCAGCACCTCACGGTAAAACACGAAAAAGCAAACTATGAGTCGCAAAAAAGTCAAGGAAGATCAAATTTTCGTTTTATAAAATCTACAGCGAAGGTTCTTAAGATCGTCAACTCTATCTAAATTGTTTGTTTCCCTGAGGGTGATAAAGGCATTTTAAACAATATATTTCATTTGACATCACACAAGAACATAACAATGGCATCTATTTTACCAGTCTGTACTTGCGATACTGTATGTAACTCAAAGCTATAAAAAAGTTAAAGTCAATCTCATCCCGAAACCAATCGTTTCATAAGATTTTTTGTTGGGTCAATAATTATGTGTTGTCGTCAATGTCTATATCAAAGAAAATAATGTCAGTACAATTACATAATGTACTAGTTAGTAGTATGGTACTTGTCGAACAAATGTTTACTTTTTAAAAAATGTCGATCGTTTTGTGCTGTACTATTAAATACTATTTGAGAGTCGTAATTTTCTAGTGGTCACGTGGTTTTTGTTGGGTCAATCATCACGTGTTGTCGTCATTATCTACAGTATATTAAAAGAATTGTGCCGCGGGAGTAGAGTTGTAGTGTATGACCACCTTTTCGCTGAGTTTCTCGCTCGATAGAAGCTATGTCTTCTGTAAACACGAAACTTTCAAAAATTTTTCCAAAATGTGTGCGTCCAAACCAGAAACCAGAAACGTACGTAATAATCAAAGGTGAAACTACGTCCCCATTTCACTTGTACGTACATGAAGAATTCTTATTGATATATGACTCTTATTATTATTCACTATGTGAACATTCTCGGCTGTGATTGGTCAACTACCTGCAGATAATTCTCGATATCTGTAGGTTATGACGTCATAACCTACAGATGATAGTTTCTACAAATATGGCCGCCATTAAAAGCCGGTTTTGAAAACAAATCAAACAACAGCGATGTTTGCCACAGTTTCTAAAAAGCTTTTTAAAGAAAAGCACGCGGAAAACACTAAAAAAGCGGTGAAGCTGGCTTTGAACATATTTACAACATATTTTAACGAGACGAACTTGAATAAACCGTCTGACAAAAAAATTAGCGAAGGTTTGAAAAATGTTTTATATTGATATGTTTTGATAATACTTCAGTGAACAATAAAACAATTATTGAATTCGTTTTTCACATGATATAAAAAATTATTCAGACCTCGGTCAATGTTATCCAGCTCAGCTTCGCTTCGGCAGATAACAATGACTTCGGTCTGAATAATTCTTGATATCATGCTCAACCTCATCCATTAATTGCTTATTATATGATCAAAATATTAAACATAGCTATCATAATTTACCGACAGCACACGAATAACAAAGTCAATAATTATAAATATTCAAGCATTTTTAGTTTCTTAAGCAGCTTTTGTGAATTTCATACCTGATTTTAAGCCCCGCAATCTTTCAGCAGCCTTCTGCATCGTAGCTTTTATACAAAAATACAAAGCTCGGCACTATAAATGCAATAAAAAAAAGACATTTAAAAATATCCAACATAAAAACTGCTGGACGCTAAGCCGTTTGAAATAAAGCAAATGCATTTCAAGACATTTTTTAAAGTTGACAAATAAATTTTGGGTCACAATTTCTAAAAATACTTTTAACATGCTCTATAGACCATTTTTACTCATTCCCTAGGGATCAACATGCCATAGGAGGAAGCAGACATTTTGGCGTACCAAACCTAAGAATAAGAATATACAGAAGAGTCACTCGTGTCGGAACCTTTGATGCTTTTGTCCTCGCGCATGTCGTGCCGCGCATGGTGGCCGCCATTATTCCAGCCAGATGATTAGGGTTTTTGACTTTTTCCCAACCTTTATAATGATCCGAAGTCATTTCTTGAGTCAAAATATACTTGGATTCATTATTAAGTATTGACGTCATGTAATTTTAATGGTTGCAAACAAGTGAGAAATCCTAATCATCTGGCTAGAATAATGGCCGACATGAGGACGCGTTGTACACCTGAGTGACCCTTCTGTATAATCATTATTCTGTGACCAAACCAAAGAACTTCTTGAAATTTCTTTTCAAATGATACACAAACATGGCAGCAATGACGTCAGAAGAAAACTCTACAAGATCGTTGCACAAACACGGCAGCAATGACGTCAGAAGAAAACTCTACAAGATCGTTGCACAAACACGGCAGCAATGACGTCAGAAGAAAACTCTACAAGATCGTTGCACAAACACGAAAAATATTTTACGCTTAGAAATAGGATACGTTTGAAATGTGCTTCACAATTAAAAACCTTCGGTAAAACTTCGATAGAATTTCTCTGTACAAGCAATAACTATGTGGATAATGACCTTTCTAGTGCAAAATTTGTTTAGTTGAGTATCTTGTCCCTGTCTATACCACAGACATAACATCTTTGTCTTGGGCGAGTACGTAATATTGACGAGTTTCTCATACCACCATCGCTCGATAATGGTTCCGCATGGTGCTCGCAACAAAATACAATCATCGTAAACCTTAATAAATGCAAGTATGACAATATTTCACGACAAACATGGTTAAAAAAAAAACATAAGTGTGTTTGTACAAAATGTCATATGGGATGAACATGCATCCAGAAAAATTCTTTTCAGTATATAACAGTTTTTATCAAGATGGCGACTAGTAAGTTGAATTGGTATGAGACTTAATAAGAGCGGATTAGCTACATGTGGGAGGTTAAATGTAGTTATGCAGGCAATCCCAGCCGTTCAGAATATTGATTACAATTGAGTGCTAATGAGTTAAAGTTGTTGATTCAAAACGCTTTTTCACTCAAGTCTGCAGCACATGAGAGCTATCAGCTGAGCTAAAAGTTACTCGTGCCCGTTAGCTCAGGCGATAGCTCGCTGTGTGCGGATGAATTTTACTGAGTTTTACGGCTTATGCAACCTTTTCTCGCATATCAAGCATGTTTGGTTTGATATTTTTGGCCACGCGAGGCAAAAAACTCACCGTTTGCGCTGAATGTGAGCAAGATGCTCATATATAACAAATTATATAACAAATTAAAGAACCAAATCTATTATCTCTTGAACAAACAGCAAAATATCGATAACAAACGAAGTGATGAACGAATACCCAATCATGCTTTTACCCGCTCAACTACATACTTTCAAAAACTTCATGATGTTATGAGAATAAAGTCGAGAATAAAGTATGTCTTAACGGTCAACACGGAAATAGTATTACTCCAAAGATTTTGTCACTTGTCTGCTTTAATTCCTTTGCAATTTCTTAATTCATAAGCAATTTATACTTTTATATTTTACAGGTCGGGCGAGCTTACATCAAACATTCAGTGGGAGTTTAGCCATGGCGTCAACGAGTTTGTCAATGACTTAAATTTGTCTAACATGTACTCGCTCATCAATTCGTTCGTAGCGGTAGCCTATATTTTGCTGTTTGTTCTTGAGATAAAAGGACGCATTACAATTGGTTCTTCAATTGGTTCAGCTAGTTGCTCACATTCAGCGCAAGCGATGAGTTTTTTCCCTAGCGTGGCCAAAAATATCCAGCATGCTCGATATGCGAGAAAAGGTTACATGAGTCGGAAAGGCCGTCCCTAAGAAGTTAATCGGGGCGGAGGGCAGTCGCTAGAACGTTCAATTTTTTTTGGGGAGGGGTTGTTTATTTATACATTAAATAGTGCCCTACTTCTTTCATCTAAATATCAATTCACTTTCAAAGGAAATCAATCGGGGACAAATGAATATATACGTGCGAATGAAAATTCTCCAAATTTACGGTTCTATGGACGGCACTGCTAGCCAGTGCAACAAAATTTATATAATTAACTTACTTCCATAAAATAAACGTCTCCAACAAGATCACCACCACAATGGACAACAAATGTTTTCTTCGTCATTAAACGACTGCAATCCTCTATTAAATCAATGTCATTACCTCGCTAGTAAAAGAAAAGAAAAAAATTGATCAATGCTCATGTTTGAAAACGAAGAAAACATTTGTCATCACACTACGTAAAAAACAAATGTTTTCTTCGTCATCAAACGACTACAATCCTCTATTAAATCAATGTCATTACCTCGCTAGTAAAAGAAAAGAAAAAAATTGATCAATGCTCATATTTGAAAACGAAGAAAACATTTGTCATCACACTACGTAAAAAACAAATGTTTTCTTCGTCATCAAACGACTACAATCCTCTATTAAATCAATGTCATTACCTCGCTAGTAAAAGAAAAGAAAAAAATTGATCAATGCTCATGTTTGAAAACGAAGAAAACATTTGTCATCACACTACGTAAAAAACAAATGTTTTCTTCGTCATCAAACGACTACAATCCTCTATTAAGTCAATGTCATTACCTCGCTAATGAAATAAAAATGCATGACAAATAACAAAATAATTACCAAGTAATTTAATTTTGACAAAAGCTGTCCAATTAACTGGCTTTGCGTCATTCCGATATGAGCTTTACCGATGATTCGACGAACTTTCTTCTTAATATCACTTTTGTTTACGTCAAGTTGAATCATGAACGCAACGATGTTATACAAAGTCGTTCCCAGGACTTTATCCTCGTCTTCTTCCAAACGCTTCTGTTCCAGTTTGCCCAGAGATCGATATCTTGAAAGAGAGCAAAGTACGATTGCATAAAACAAGTAATGAAAAACAATGCGCGAGTTTCATTTTTTGATGCAAGTTGCAATTAATTGATATTCTATTAAAGCTTTATTTATATTGACTGCACCGCATTTCTGATAGTTCGATGAACCGAGGAAAGCTGTCTAAAATCTGGAGTTTAAACTCAAGTGTACACTCAATATGTTGAGAGCATTTGCACACCTTGCTAAGTTGTGTTGAGCGTCATTGAGAGAAGTTTGAAATTTTGCACGTATAGCTTAAGAAATATAGAAACCGCAAAACAGCCTTTCTTAATCCTACATTATCCTACATTAGCCTTTCTTAATCCTACATAATCCTACAATCCTGTATTATCCACTTCTAAATATATATCTACACGTACAGACAGACCGATAAATACGCAAAAAGAGAGATAGAAAAGTTGTACTGGTAATTTATTAAAACACGCTAACTTTGTCAAAGAAATTCGCGTGGTCAGTTTGTTAGTGCTATGTACATTTTCTATTATTCACTCACTGGAAAAACAATAGCTACATTTGTAAAGAAACAGATACTTCTATTGATGAGAAATTCTAAGGAACAGTCAATAGCGTAACGCGGAATTGTAATCATTTTGTATTGAATTCAAACAAATTTGCAGGTTGAATACGTCACTGAGGAATTGCAAACTAAGGAACTGTCAATAGCGCAAAGAGGAATTGTAATAATTTTCTATTGAATTCAACTAAAGTAAAACCTTATACCTTTCAATCATTTCGCCATGATCTTGATTCATTCCCAAGGCATCGCGTTCCGCATTCACAGTGTCCATAAACAAATGTTCCCAAAAGTCCATGTTATCCCACAACGTCGATCTTTCCCCCAGCAAACCCTGAAACAAATATTTCCTTCCCGTGTTTCCGGTGCTTTCGTCACTTACGTCGATGAGCTCACTGTTCAAATACCTATAACCCTTACTGAGATCGCTTTTCCTTTCAAGTAAATCAATGTTAGGTAAACATGGGACCGCTCGTATGGGGTTGTAGTTCGGTGACATTCGCATATGAGCAATTCGCGGACTTCCGGAAGGAGATCGTACTCTCTCCATAGAGAAACTATCTTCGTTGCTACCCGCACGTAATAGCTGTGTCTCAATATTTGAATATTTTCGATCTAACATTCTGTGTTCAGTGTCTGATGGAATATTCACTCCAGTGAAGTCACTTTGTGTACGTAATAGTTGCAAACGCTGAAAAAATCTTTCTTCGTTCCTTCCCCGTATTTTCGAGGCTTTGTTTGCGTCAATATCTGCTGCGGAAGCCTCACTGGCATCACAATGACCGCTGTCCTGTTCGCTGTCGCTAATTACCAGCGTTGATCGATCTTAAGTAAATAATGAACGTAATAACATTGTTTAAAGGGTTCATGACTCAAAATTTCATCACAAATTTGTTTCATTGTAATACAAAGAACATATAAAATGATTTTGTAACCTCTTTAGTAGAATTGACTTATTTTACTTTATTCTACATATATTAACCTTATTCGTTACGCAAATAACATCGTTATGAAATCATACGGCATAACAATATTTTTGAAGATCGTCAATTTTTTACAATTTTAGAATTTTTTATCATCAACATGTACAGATGAATATATTTTTGTAAAAGTGTCAAAGTTAGATATTTTAATGCTGACGGTAGACAAAAATTATCCTTTACCGATGCTAATTATGCAACGTGATGTCATAACGATGTCATTTGCATATTGAAGAAAAATTACATATCTCCAGAAAGAAATAAAATAAGACAATTCTATTAAAACGGTCATTAAGTCATTTCAAATTTTCTTTATTAGGCAAAAAAAATAAATTATGGTATAATTTGGTGTCATAAACACATTAACATTAAGCAAAAAAATTCTATCTGCAAACAATCTACATACATGAATTATTTTCTCAACAATGTTCTAGATGAGAGCAATCAGAGCTTAACTAACTAAAAAGACAACGTGATGTATCCAAAATAGGATGTGGTGTATTAACAAAAACATTTAATACCCAATCCTAAAACTACGTAGCTACAACGTCACTTTTTGGGAACAAATTAATTTTAAATTAGAATGAGATAAAACCTTCACGCATTCGCCACTGAAAGATTTCAAATACTTCACGTACCTCCACTGCCATTGGCTGAAACAGTTGCATCGGAGATATCCGATAGGTTTGAAAGACTTTCTGTTGGTGATATCCGTAAAGTTTCCTCTTGTGCCGCGTTGAAATTTTTAATTTCACGACCATAATAATGCGTGTGAGCAAGTCGGAGAAAATGATATGCTGACGTCACTCCACCCAGTCCAAAATTCGATAAACTGATTTCCAAGCCGTATACAACTCCTTGCAAAACGTCCAACATTCCTCTTAACACATTCTTGTTTATACACTGTAATAAAGTATGTTCATTCATTAATTGCATAACAACCGTCGACAATAGACAACTTGCATTATTACCTCCCTTTATAGTCACGCAAATGAAAACATTGCAATTGCATTGAGAGTTTACATGAGAAAACAATTTGCGTGGTTTAAAGCTTTTCGTAATTCCAGCAAAAGGCGTGTTAATTCTTGCTTTTTCAGTTAGACGAGGTTTAGTTTGAGAAGGTTTTGTGGCTTTCGGAAAAATAGTTGGCAATCGATTTAAATATCGAATATCGAATCGTCTAGCGTAGATTCGCCGCGACTTTCTGAGCTAGAAGTTTCCTGACGACCCGGGTAAGTTCTCAAAAGAACTCAGGCCTTCAGTTGTACTTCTTAACTGAGAAACGTGACTAAGAACAGCATTAAACACAATTTTGCTAGGTGGCCATATTGCAATGTTTTCGTGTGTATGACTACTAAGTGACGTAATAATGCAAGTTGTCTATTGATATATTTAGCCGAATTTGTTTACATTGTGAATGCTTGAGTCAATTACTTCCAAACTACGGTAGATGTATCACTGTGCCTGTTTGTATCAGTTTTTTAACGTAAACAAAACTGTTCATTTTAAGCAAATAACTCTTTTCGATAACTGTAAATAATTCAATCTCATTTTACTACGAACTCGTATTACGCGCTTGTATTACGTAATGCGTACGTAGTTTGTACAAAATAATAAATGCTGATAAACTATACAATTCATTATCGTACTAGAGTTTCAAAATTAAATTACTCACTCGACAAAGTTACGTAGCTACTTATACAAACAAACATTACTGAACTTAGAACTAGAAAGAGTATGAGGAAAACTATACGTCGTCGCCCTTTCATTGACAAAGTTACGTAGCTACTTATACAAACAAACATTACTGAACTTAGAACTAGAAAGAGTACGAGGAAAACTATACGTCGTCGCACTTTCATTGACAAAGTTACGTAGCTACTTATACAAACAAACATTACTGAACTTAGAACTAGAAAGAGTATTAGGCAAACTATACGTCGTCGCACTTTCATTGACAGCCCCGTAAATCTGCGTAGTTGGAAAAGAAACACAAAGTTTTTCTCACCTTGTCAGAAACTATGTCGGATTTCGTTTTATCAGAGATCTCTCGGAGGAAACAATTGACGACTTTTTGTCGACACAACTCCTTAATCATCAAACCTCGTAAACGTTTCTTCTTGAACATTCCAACACCGTTGGCGTTGAGCACCGAATTCACGACGTCATAAAGAAACTGTTGATCTTCCCTGCCATGGTACAAACAAAAAAATAATGATACAAACACGAGAAATGAATTGCTAAGAGTACCACAACTATATGGATATTCAGAGCTAAAAATGACGGTCGAATACTCTTTGGTCAACTTAATTTTAGCTCGGTCAAAGTCGATTTTTGACCGGTGACTAACTCGTACGAAAAACTTGCCCGAAATAACGTGAGACTGAAGATTTTTAATACACATCAGATCATCCGAATTCACGTGGAAAAAAATTTCGGAGGCGACAGATCATCGTATTAGACGTTCTATGCACTTCATACCTTACCATACATCGCCTTACTAGCTACGTATAATGCTTTGGGGGTAAGGCATGAATATGGGACAGGTAAAGTAAAAACTTGACAGGGCAGCAAGCATTTTTGATCCGTCATTGTCCGTTAACCGGCCATTATTTTGAGCTCTGGTCGTTTTTGCACAAGAATTAGGAAATTTGTAACTGCATGGTTTGTGCTAATTTGTAAAGTTAACGGTACATTTTCAAGGGCGATTACGTTATTGACTGGAGCATCTGAGGTTCTATAACAAGCAACATCGTACTTACCCTGTTATATTTTCACAGCTGACAGGTTTGAATAATGAATTAGCCTGTAAACTCGCAAGTTTCGCGTCCATTTTGCCAGTTTTACATTGAGTTTGTAATGCTGGTTAACGAGAAAGAAAAAAAAAGCCATTCGTACCACAAAATTTCTACAAGGTGAAACTATGTTTTCCTTTGCAAGATCTTTCACCAAATACGATTGTCATTCAGTAAGACTTACTCTTGTCATTGCAATGATTGACACTTTCACGATCAGATCGACCGTCATTCACATCATTCACTAAAACCAGATATATCATACCATGAGGCAGCACAGTGTTCGGATAAGTTTTGAAAAATAATCGACTATTGTAGCTATACCATTTATGGAACGCTACCTGTAATACAAAACCCTAATAATTTTTTGAATCCGCTATTTTACCCCAGACACGCGTGTGTAGTCAATCAATTTTCACTCCGCGAGAGAATCTCGAAACACTTCACACGCGTGTATGGGGTAAAATCTCGCCTGTCTGATTTAAGATTTGGCTTCAATTATTTGCTTCAGGTAGAGTTCCACGTATTTTAGTTCAATGATCTATGCTCGACATTAAGCAACATAGTTGAGCTAAAGGCAACAAAGCACTAACCATCAGATTTAGTTTGTGCAGACATGTCAGAGTTCGCAGCTGGATCGCTTACGTCACTTGATTCCAACGATTGACGACGATTGTTTTGAGGAGAAGGTGGGTTAGAAACGGAATATATCTCGTCATCATTACAGTCCTCATCCTCCTCAAATGATGATTGTTTTTCAAGAACTCTATAAGACGTTAAATTTATATGTTAAAATATGGTGTTTCAAAAGTTTACGCTCTCCCGATTAAATCAATGCAAATAATAAACAGAGCAAAGATTAAAGTGTTTTTTTTATGATACATATGAGTCGTAGCTACGACAGTTTTTAAGGTACGTGTAGTTGTGTCTGAAACCACATCAGCGTTCGATGAAAAAATTATAATACAAACAAGCTAAACTTCAAATTTTTTAATACTTTAAGAATAAAAAAAAACATCCACTGGCGAAATGATTCTATTTACTAACAACAAAAACATTTCAAACAACAAATGACATTTCTAGTGAGGTGGGGGCGGGGGGACTCGTTCTCAAGGTACGACATTTCTAGTGAGGTAGGGGAGAACTCGTTCTCAAGGGACAACATTTCTAGTGAGGTGAGGGGAGCACTCGTTCTCAAGGCACGACATTTCTAGTGAGGTGGGGGCGGGGGGACTCGTTTTCAAAGGACAACATTTCTAGTGAGGTGGGGGAGCACTCGTTCTCAAGGGACAACACTTCTATTGAGGTTCGAGAGTATGCCAACCAGAATACTTTGAAAATTTAGATCGTTAGAATTTTTTCTAAGGCGAGTCCTACCCATTCAAAAGTCAAGAATGTTTAAAGCTGGGAAGTGTACAGTACAGACATCTATCAAATAGTCAATACTTAATATGACAATTACGGTATATAGGTGTGTCTAGTCTATACTCTCTTAAAAATTATTAGGTGGTTTGACCCCCTTGTGTCCACCACTGCTCGTTACAATGATCAACGTTGGTAAATCAATAAATGGATAATAGTACGTAAAAATTCGACAACATTATCTGTACGTAGTCATCAAGTAGGACTACGTCAACATGACGTCACTGACAGGATACGTCATTGCATAATGAACATGCAAAATAAAGAAATGGCCAGATGGCCATGAATGATGGTCTAATTAACATGAGAAACATCATACTTAGTTTCATTAATCAAGGTGTTAGTAACGTCTTGAAGATTTGCCATGCAGTTAGGGGTTGGAGAATCTGCATCTGGAGGGGTAAACGGTGGTTTCAATGATCCCGAGGGGGTTTCGCCATGAATATCCCCACGAAACATTTCCGCTACGGTATCGCTGACGGATGAATAACAACTACTACTGTCGTCATCTTCAATACTACACGATCTTAGTCTATCGGAATCATCACTTTCATACATATCGTGGAGTAAATCCATTTCATAATTACTCCATTGCGCATCGCATAACGTGGATTCAGGATCATAGGCTTTGAAGTTTAATTTATCCAGTTTATAGTTGTACCAACGTGGTTTATCGCCAACTAAATGTGGGTCAGTTATACCTAAAGATGACATAGCCACGTTGTAAGTTATGAATACAAGACATAACGCTAGGGTACAGAAAAACCCCCCACTTCGTAATAGCTATTTTAACGCAAAATGAGAGCCAGCTATGAGTCCAGCATGGAGGAAGTCCTGTAAAATTATTTAAGAAATAAAAAAATATATTTCAAATTTAAAGTAAACGTTTAAATTTTTCCTCTAAAATGTATTCATGATCGATTTGCAAATTCTCTTTGACTGATTAATTGTTATGATTGATTCGATTGGTTGAGCTCAGATGTGTTTTGCACAGGCTAATGCAAACACAGCTCTAGACCAATAATCGCACGCGTTTCAGTCACTGAGACTAAAAACATGACCTCCTTGCGTGAAACAGGTCTTTGAGTAAATGGTTTGAACCCTGGGGTATCGTTACATGTTTGTAAATGTCGATCGTCCAGGTTGGTATAGTCCTGAGAAGGACTGTTTTTGTTGTTGTTGACTGACGTTTCGACAACCTTAGCAGTAGTCATCTTCAGAGTCAAATGAGGAGTAAACGTCAGGTTAGCCGTATTTGTTATCTGGTTCTTACATCATTGTATTGTGTGTACAGGAAATGTGCATTGTCATTGTGAATTAGTGTTAAGTGAAATATTTTTATTTTTAGTTGTGATGTGTGATTTAGGTGTGATGTTTTTAGTTGTAATGTGTGGGTGTCAATTGTGTACTGTCATTGTGATTCACAATTGTGTAGTGTCATTGTGATTCACAATTGTGTATTGTCATTGTGAATACACATTTCCTGTACACACAATACAATGATGTAAGAACCAGATAACAAATACGGCTAACCTGACGTTTACTCCTCATTTGACTCTGAAGATGACTACCGCTAAGGTTGTCGAAACGTCAGTCAACAACAACAAAAACAGTCCTTCTCAGGACTATACCAACCTGGACGATCAACATTTACAAACATGTAAAAGATCTTTGAACTGACTACAAAGAAAACAATACGCTATGACCAAGAGAACTTTTAACTTCATATAAAATAAATGGCTTTGCTTTTTGAATATTAATTTTAAGCTTCTGCCCTATATTTTATAACTGCAATCAACAATAAATCTTTATAAAAAAGAAAAAGAAAAATACTCACCCATTTGTATTCTTGTGTAGACAATATTCGTTGGATAAACTAACCATTCGGCAAGGTATTCAACATTCTTTGAAGAGAAAAAATTCATAAATTATTACAACACCATTCAGTTCCTTTATACTGTCATGTAAGAAAACAAAAGAAGAAACTACGATGACCTTCTTTCATAAAGAATCTAAATAATTATCATTAAAAAACCTTTAGTCAACTGAAAATGGAAACAAGATAAATTAGCCAATGAAAATGTGCAAGTTTCCGAATTGAAAAACTGAATTACGAAAAGGATAATCGAAAAGTGTTTTTGAGAAATATTTGACAACACATATTAGCAAACAAAGTTGTAATACAGCGTCTTATACAACGTAAGCGAGAATGGCTTGAAAATCAAGGTATAATTTGCAAGGTTTAATATAGATTGAAGTGAAAGAGGATTAACATCAAGTATTGAAACAATCGTTAAGTGAAAACGGGGAGTAAAAATCTCAAGCTTTAGCAAAATAATCAAATAAAACGTTTCTTCGTACGTAGATATGTTTATATGTATGTCTAACCTGTGTCTCAACAAGTTTCATCACGAATTTCGAGGATTAACATCAAGTATTGAAACAATCGTTGAGTGAAAACGGGGTGTAAAAATCTCAAGCTTTAGCAAAATAATCAAATAAAACGTTTCTTTGTACGTAGACATGATTATATGAATGTCTAACCTGTGTCTCAACAAGTTTCATCACAAATTTCGAGGATTAACATCAAGTATTGAAACAATCATTGAGTGAAAACGGAGTGTAAAAATCTCAAGCTTTAGCAAAATAATCAAATAAAACGTTTCTTTGTACGTAGACATGATTATATGTATGTCTAACCTGTGTCTCAACAAGTTTCATCACGAATTTCGAGGATTAACATCAAGTATTGAAACAATCGTTGAGTGAAAACGGGGTGTAAAAATCTCAAGCTTTAGCAAAATAATCAAATAAAACGTTTCTTTGTACGTAGACATGATTATATGAATGTCTAACCTGTGTCTCAACAAGTTTCATCACAAATTTCGAGGATTAACATCAAGTATTGAAACAATCATTGAGTGAAAACGGAGTGTAAAAATCTCAAGCTTTAGCAAAATAATCAAATAAAACGTTTCTTTGTACGTAGACATGATTATATGTATGTCTAACCTGTGTCTCAACAAGTTTCATCACAAATTTCGAGACGCTTGGTAGCGACAACAAGAATGCATCTCTCTGAACGGCAACAACAGGTCTCGGAAAAAGTCGTAATGTTCTAGTATGTTCCTGAAGTTTGCCGAGGACATTTTGAGCCAAAAAGAATGACGTCATCGCAACTCTGACCGCTATATCAACAGCATCGACATCATTGCCATAGACAATATGATTACTGTTCAAACCAAGCGGGATTTTATTCCATAATTGTTCCGACCAACTGTTACTCATCGACAATTGACTATCTAGGTTAGGTATTGTCTGTGGTGGTACTGATAGCGAGGCAATGGCCTACAAGTAAAAGAAATAGAATTAGTTATCATTCAAAATGTACCTATATGCACAATAGTGTCCCTGTGCTGGCTTACGTAAATAAATGGTCACAAGTAAAGAGCATTGTTAAGTCAAAACACGTGCATGTATATAAAGCTCCACACAACTTGTGGCAGCAACATCCTATATCCTCCCCAATCCCCCACCCCTCCTTGCTCCGTACACACACATAGAAATGAAAAACCTCATCAAAATAGACATTACTCTTCTAAGATTTCCTTTCAGAATACTCGCTTCAGGCTGAGGTAAATCTGGTAGTTCATCTGCTTGAAATGGAACAGTGATCTATAAAAAAGTATTGAATATACGTAATCACAAACGTATGATTTGTTTTCCATGAGGCGACATATTTATTCACTAGGGGCTGTTTACTTGAATCCAGTAACCGGGATTCAGCGAGGCGTAAAATGATTTTGAGTGATTGAAAAGAATAAAAACTTTAAGTGCCAAACTTACAACCTTTTCTTACAAGCGTCATACGTCATTTTAGTCGTAATTTTCAAACCCAGCTAAATTATTTGTTTTCGTTTTAAAGGTTTAGTGAATGTGAAAAGTCAGAGTATAGAGAAATTGCTCAAATAAGTTTTTTGTTGTGAAGTATTTAATCTTTTCCATTTACCAAAATGATTTAACGTTCCGCTGAATCGCGGCTACCCGCGGACTCATGTGAACAGCTCCTAGGTCTGCAAGATGATACTTCAAAGTGAAACAATTGAAACCCTACGTATGTATAGTTTCACCAGACAAAGGAGTTCTATGAAATCGCATAAATACGATATCACAGAAAATCCTAATTGCGTTGAAAACAGCTTTGCGTATGTTTTATAAGAGTGACGTGACTAAAGCAACACATTTAACTTGAACAAAAAACGTCCGAATCCTCATACGTTGATGTGTTCGTAACAACGTGGAAACCATCATACGCCGCACGTTGATATAACTTATGTAGCTACGTATTACGCATGATATTGATGTGTTAAAACATGAATTGCTACACTACGCATTAGCTAGTAGTAAAACCTATCAGTAAATTTTTCATTTAAAATCAAATATACGTATAAAGCGAAATTATTGATGAGTTTTAAAATTGGAAACAAGGCTTTACAGTACGTCATATGGGATCACGTACCAATGCTTTACAGTACGTCATATGGGATCACGTACCAATGCTTTACAGTACGTCATATGGGATCACGTACCAATGCTTTACAGTACGTCATATGGGATCACGTACCAATGCTTTACAGTACGTCATATGGGATCACGTACCAATGCTTTACAGTACGTCATATGGGATCACGTACCAATGCTTTACAATACGTCATATGGGATCACGTACCAATGCTTTACAGTACGTCATATGGGATCACGTACCAATGCTTTACAGTACGTCATATGAGATCACGTACCAATGCTTTACAATACGTCATATGAGATCACGTACCAATGCTTTACAGTACGTCATATGGGATCACATACCAATGCTTTACAGTACGTCATATGGGATCACGTACCAATGCTTTACAATTTTCACATAAAAGAACGAGTAACGTCATCACAAAATTAACAAACATTTCTAGCTACGTATTCAAGAAAAGATGTTTACTGTGTTTGTACGGGCTTATGCAAACCGAGGAGAACTTTGGGAGAACTCGAGAGAAGATCAGTGCAAGCCCGAGACCGAAGATCGAGGGTTGCATGAGCTCGAGAGTTCTCACGAATTTCTCTGAGGTTTGCATAAGCCAGTGCAAACATGAAAAACATCTTTTATTTCTTTTATAAAATAAAATAATGCCAAAAAGAAAAATATTTTAATTTTTCCTCCAAAAATGTATTCATGATCCATTTGCTAATTCTCTTAAACTGATTGATTGTTTTGAATGATTTGATTGGTTGAGCTCAGATATGCTTTGCACAGGCTAATGCAAACACAGCTTTAGACCAATCAGCGCACACTTTTTATTGTGTTTATTTTATAAACATAGATAAATACTTTGCAAGCAAGCAAGCATTTACAGCTACGTACGTATATCCCTTTGCTAGCAAATCCCTCCCCAGCTGAAAATTAGCTGAGAGTCAGTAGTATTAACGCACAAATTTCAGTTTGGTGCGAAAATAATATTGTAATATGGCAATATTGTAAATATGGTAATAAAAGTTCCCCACAATCAGGTAAATCTCCGGCAAAAGTTTATCAGATGTCAGATATTGCTGGATAAACACTTATTACATGTACTGGATATAGAATGCTGGTAACCGGATCAGAACTTTCCTTTTTGCAACATTTGTCTAGTATTTGCATTAGTGACAAATTATAAACATGACTTTTATGTTTGAGGTACATAATGATTTTTACAAAAATATGTTTAATCCTGTGAATACCTTGTTTGAATCAAGATCAACAATCCAAAGATCACATGGATTGTGGAAATCTTTGGTTTTATATTTGAAGAAACTTGCTGGAACTCCAATAATGTAAGGTGTAGGAGCCAAAAGAAGCTGAAAATATTGATATAACTCAATAAATGCTTTTTGTGAATATCACAACTTACTGTAGGTATGCAAATGTTGAAAAAGATTAATGTTTATGTTATTGTGACAACATAGTAAAAAAACTCATAAAAATGGACAAATACCTGTTCTGCATTATTCATACAACTAGGAAGTAAAGGAATGATGGGAAACATGTATTCCAGAGGATATAATAAAGATGACATGGCCATTATTGTCATTGTCAGCGCATTATAATCTCTTGATTGAAAAACAACCTAAAATATCAAATAATTGTGTATTTTATATAATGTAATTTTGTACATTGAAAAACAACCTAAAATATCAAATAATTGTGTATTTTGTATAATGTCATTTTGTACATTGAAAAACAACCTAAAATATCAAATAATTGTGTATTTTATATAATGTCATTTTGTACATTGAAAAACAACCTAAAATATCAAATAATTGTGTATTTTGTATAATATCATTTTGTACATTGAAAAACAACCTAAAATATCAAATAATTGTGTATTTTGTATAATGTCATTTTGTACATTGAAAAACAACCTAAAATATCAAATAATTGTGTATTTTATATAATGTCATTTTGTACATTGAAAAACAACCTAAAATATCAAATAATTGTGTATTTTATATAATGTCATTTTGTACATTAGTATTGTAGACACAACTCTAACACTTTTTTTCTTACAAAATGTTCATTTATAAGATAGACGATCAATTTAATGGTGGATGATAGGATATGTACATGTACAATTTAAATCAATAAAAATGAAAAACGTAATTTTGTGAATTAAGTTGTCTACCTCTTTTTAACAAGCAGCATTCAAAATCTAATGTTACGTATGTATGTTCGACTCAATATTAAGCATTAGTTTGATGGATACACTTTATTTTGTAAATGCATTTTATAACAACCTTTCATTTTTCCTGTACAGAAATAAAAGACACACAGGAATGCATACAATTCAAAGACAAACCTTTCAAAAATAGTCATGTTTATTTTTCTGTAATATCAAACACATTGATTGGAGCATTTTTACAATGCCATAAAGGTTGCCTGGTAGCCTTGAAAAATAGGAAGGGCTTACGAACTCTGCAACTGCCTTGATTAGTTGAAAATATGTAAAACTTTAATAAAGCCATTAAGTGTCAATACAGTACTGGATTGCCATTTTGTACAACAGTACATGTACATATGTAAATACACATGTATTTCATCAAAACAATGCCAAAAGCAAAAATAGCAAAACAGTAAAACTATTTATCTTAAACAGTACCTTTTGTTCCAATAGTATACATGTGAGCACTTTCAGAAATGTGTCGACACCAAGAAGCTCTAAAGGTAGATGAATTGGGAAGTCAACAAGAGAAAACCTCTTTGCATCAGGGAATGCAAAACAGATTGGAGGATGCAAGTCTGGAGGAACAAGCTCTAGTTCAACTTCAGTCCTTCCAGGGATGGGCACCGGAGTTAACAACAATCGCCTTATCCATGATTCAATCTCTCTCATTTCTTCTTGTAATGGACTCAACTTTGGATCTTCATTACATAAGAATAAAGACCACGAATCAAATGCATGAGATGATTGACTCGAATTCAAATCTTTCGAAGAAGAACTGCCTCTCGACTCGATCATACGTCGAAGTACATAAAGACATTCACGAAATGATGAGAATATAGGATGATGAGTGATTATACATAGTGATGTCAAAGACACACATTTTGTCGTGTTTTTTTGCTTCATTTCTTTACTCTCGTTATAGCCGTCATCTCTTCCGTTTGTTTCTTTGTTTTCTTTCGAAAACGAACCGTAGCAAGGACGGTAGAAGTTCATCGCAACTCCATAGCGTGTCTTCCCCGAATCTTTTTCCGTCAGAGTAAAAACAAATGTTGTCGCTTGACGAAGAGAGATTTTCTTTGCTGCTGTACACGATCCTTCAGGCTGACAGAAGAAAACGACGTCGGGAGGAAAATGAAAGTCGTTGTAATCATCCTTGGGAAACTTTCTCAAAGTTTCGGGAGTTTCCGTCAAACCTAATGTAGGATTTCTCACGCCAACTACCACAACGTAATCGATTAATCTTTTACACAGTTCTGGCTGATTTATGTACTCTGCCATTATCGACCTTCTTTTCGACTTGTTCTTTTCATAATCAAAATACACTATGAAGTGTTTTGATCATACTCAAATAACAATTCAATTCAACTTTATAAACACTATGCCAGTGACTATGCTCAAGATACTCGATATTTTTAAATACTCTTTCATCACCTGCTTGCTGTTTTATATGTCGATTTCCTGTCGAGAAAAATTCTTCTAGACAAAAAAGTCGCGAAGATCAGAGCAAAAGATCAAGCAAATTGGAATCAGCCAATTGGCAATTGTAAAGAAATTGAAATTATTGTTAATATTTTCAAGATAGCAGCAACCGAGTGAAATCATATTATGGTAAAGATCAACAGTTAGTCAAGTTTTTTCTTGTTTGCGTCATGGTCATACGTGATAATGCTGCCGCCGATTATAAGCCAAGGAAGTCACTAAGTGGCGGAGTTCTTGTATGACGTAATGTCCTGTACACCTCCCTTGGGGCCTTTGACTGAATTTATAACTACGAGGATTTTACAAAGATACAAATCCAGTAGTAATTTCATTGTCAATTTCAGTTAACTTTTCAAATGGCGGTTGCCAAATTACTTTCTAATGTTGCCAACTACATTTCCAAATATGGAATATTCGATATGAACTTGTCGAATTGAGTTGACAAGTTGTGTACTTGAGTACTGAAGTTGTGTACTTGAGTACTGAAGTTGTGAACTAAAGTTGCGAAGTACTGGCAAACGCGAAAGGTCTTTGTACCCTGTAGACATTTGGCAATGAACCGTTCAGTAAGCAAGGAAAAGCTTTACCAATAGAAGTAAGAAATGAAATACTTGAAAGGTGGTTAAATAACGAGCGTTTGACAAACATTTCGAAACATCTAAACCTACCGTATAAGACTATATCAAATATAATAGATCTATGGGTAGACACTGGCTCTATTGCACCTCGCCAGAGCGAACGTGATGTTCGAACCGCGCGTACAGATGACGTTATTGCATACACTGAATATCTAAAAATTAATAAACCATCTATTTAGGCAACACCTAGAAAATAACAAAGTTTGTTTTCCAGCAAACATACCTAACAGGTCATCCATTAGTAAAATTTTGAATAAAAATCTTGGCTACTCTTACAAGATAATAAGTCAAATTCCTCGAGACAGAACGGCCAGACGTTATGGAGAAGTTAGAAGGTTACGTAACAAATATTTCATTGATTGATTGCAACCGTATGCATTTCTTTGATGAGTCGCCTGTAGTTGTTACGAGTGGCAACAGACGTCGAGGGCACAGTATGCAGGGTACTCCTGCATTTAAAATCCAACGATACTCTTCTAGTGCCACATATACTGTAAATTTATTACATATTGTAAACGGCGTATCGCATTATAACACTCTTAGAGGGCCGTCAAACGGATTAGAATTGCTAAAGCTTTTCCTTGCTTACTGAACAGATTCATTGCCAAATGTCTACTGGGTACAAAGACCTTTCGCGTTTGCTAATACTTCGCAACTTTAGTTCACAACTTCAGTACTCAAGTACACAACTTGTTCACTCAAGTTGACAAGTTCATATCGAATGTTCCATATTTGGAAATGTAGTTGGCAACATTAGAAAGTAACTTGGCAACCGCCATTTAAAAAGTTAACTTAAATCGACAAATAAAGTCTATATAATGTGAATAGTGTGTGCAAGTGTGGTCTTGTGCAACCACTGATCTGATAATAGACTGGATGTAGCTTCTATAAGTATCAACCATTGAGTTCTATAACATTGAGGTCTTATAGAACTCAATGGTATCAAAAGTGAAGCCAAATTATATAAGCTAAATTTGAACATTTCTTCCGGTTTGCTTCCAGGAATTGCGAAATAAAGAAAACGCAAACAGAATAATCATAAACTATTAATGTGAATTATTCTGTGCTACACGCATACTTTCTTCGTTACATTTCATTGATGGCAGAATCAACTATGGAAAAATATAATATAGACAATTTCACTTTAGCAGATAAACTAAAAGAGCGCGATCTTGAATATATTCGCTTTCTCGGCCAAGGACGTTATGGTAGAGTTATTAAGGCGAAGCACACTCTTGATGAACAACATTACGCAATTAAATATTGCCCTATTTTAACAGATACGGCAAAAAGCTGTAAACGCGAAATTGAAACTCTTACGGAAAAAGAATTTTGGAAACACAATATTGTAAAGTATTCGGGCTGCTGGGAAATGGTCATCAACAATGAAAAATTTTTGTTTATTAAGATGGAACTTTGTTCTAAAACTTTGTGTGACTTTGTATACGAGAACAATTTTGGTAATGGCGCTGAGATTGTAAAGACTACAAGATTATATCGACAAGTTTTCCCTCAAATTTTAAACGGTCTTCAAACTTTACACGCAGAACAACTCGTACATCGCGATCTCCATGTTGGAAATATTCTTGTTGTTAATTCAAATATAAGCAAAATCTCTGAGATTGAAATCAAGATAACCGACTTTGGTCTTACCCGAAAGATTTATACCAAAGAACAATTGGAGTTTTTGAGTTCGAGCATTGAGCTTCAAGAGTTGTCTAGTGGTGTAGGAAATGAATATTTTCGAGCACCGGAACTTGACTCAAGCTATTATGATAACAAAGTTGATTTATACAGTGCAGGAATTGTTTTGTATTTTCTATCGTGCTATATAGAGATTAAAGGCAAGTGGAAAGAGGAAATACGTGCATTGAAGGACGGCAAACGTGACCCGACAAACTTAGCACATAAAGATGACGAGACACTAATAGAGATGATTTTTTCCCGTCTTGTTCACAACGAACCACATCATCGTCCTAGTGCAAAAGAAGCGCTAAATATAGTTAATGTTGCATGGAAAAATGTAAACGAGCCGTCCAAAGAAGTGAGATTCCCGATAACTGTATCTGAGAAAAAAAGAAAGATTTATGTTCGTAAAGAAGACGAGGAAAAGGTTGAGAGAATCTTTCTTCAAGAGGACAGCTTTGCAAATATTAAAGAACAAATTGAGAAACAATTGGGCATTCCAAAAGAACTGCAAGTGTTAAATTACAAAAATGTGATTAATGGAAAGGAGGAAACGCTATCTATATCTTCGGAAGAAAAAGCTCATGAAATGTTTCTGAGTGCAGATGAGGAGATGAAAAAAATAATCATTGAAGTGGCCAAAGCTGAATCGCTGATGGATGTAGATGCCTCTAACAAAAGTTTGTAGTTATATTGTTAGAAAAAGTGTATATACCATTGTTCATGAATGAATATTTCCAATTCAACCTAAGAGCATATGATCAGGGCATATGACTACATAATATTTCATATCCATTAAAACAAACTCACAATTTGATATTTGATGACCGTGGTCATTTGCACTGAATGTTTTGCAGGTTGTTTTGTAATATTCATCAGTGTAGCCAGGGGGCTCAAAGGAGGAAATTGTTTTTCCTTCTTTTCGATGAGTCATGACTATTTCAAATAGTGGCTATTTGCTTGTGGTGCTACAGCTACATTAACTATGAAGGCCATTACGCATGACACGAAACGTGAGACGAAAATCTGTGGTATACATGGTTAGTTACACTGGGATGGCAAATTTGATGGACCTCTTAAATTAAACGTGTTTGCAACGGGCGAGATGAAGATGGTGTATCCTAGTATGGCGATCCGTCATTCCTCTGTTCGAACATTGCGTAATCTCTGGCGTCGCATAAAGTTGTTTTTGCTGCCGCGAAATCAAGATTTAAAAGTTCAATTGAAGTCTTAGTAGAACTATTTTAATTTTTTTAATGCCTGGGTGGGCTGTATAAGAGGGTTGTAATTTGAGATTTGATAAATTAACCTTTAAAATCAGTAATTTTTAATCGGTCATCATGTCATAAAATTTCTATTGGGCAATCCTTTCGTCATAAACCATGTCACGTGATGGATACCAAAAAGAAATTTTAAAGTTACTGACTTACCAGGGGTATATTTTCTGGAGTGGTGCAGAGAGTACGCAGTCAACCCCACTCTCCCAGAAAAAATGTTTAGTGCCTCCTCATGAAAAGTTCCAAAATGACATTACGTACTATGGACAATTAATATAACAGTATAAGAGGCTATGAAATTGTACAGTAAGTTCTCATTTCAAAGAGAATTCCATACTTTATATCACCAGCATTTGCAATTGATTATTACCGTGAAACATTGAAACAATAAAATTAAAATAAATTACTAAATGCGCATTCATTAAGAGAAACAGATAATTTTTTTTAAACAGCTAATGACGCTTTCCTTTTGCATGATTCACTTATCTCTAAGACTATGTTTCTTTAAAAGCCCCAGGCACTGGCTTCCTTTAGCTAGGACAATGTTGCCTCCCCTCTCTCTTGGAAAATCTTATCTCTCCTGTCAAATAAGCATTGATCTGCCCTGGGTGCTTACCAGTAGCTATATATCATTACCGAATAAAATTTCTCGTCAATTCCAGTTAGGTTATTTCATCGTTATTACCACTCAGAATTTCTCGTGATTATTAGTTAAATTGTTCCATCAATATTACCAGATAGAATAACCCACTAGTGCATGGTTTTTTCCAAATTGCATTCGAAACCATGTTGTTACGTAAGCAACTCGCAACTAAAATGCTTTTTTTAAATAAGCGATTTTATATTATTTATGTCTGTGGTGAAATGAATTCTGCACTTTCCTACTATGAATTTACATTATACATTACCAGTAAGAATTTTTTTACAGAAAATTAAAATTTGGCTATTATTCGTATTTCTAAAGCGATTCCAATTCAGTTTGTTTCAAGACTTTGAACAAGTTGCTCAAGGTACTTTGGCTTTATGGCTCCCAAGCCTATTAAAACTGGTGTAGAAATAAAGGAAGCCTGATTGGCCAACCTTAATAGTGCTGATCTACACGTATGGTAATTTTCAGTCGAAGTAATCACGGACTGAAGCATCCTGATATCAGCTTAAACTAAAAAATCGCAGAGACTTGCCAATTGGCATTATTTAAAACCTATAGTCCGGGGCTGAAACGCTGTTTTTAAAGGGTACCTCGACAAAAATACTAAGTGCAACTTTTTTCCAGAAATGTGTTCAGGGACCATATGAAAGTATTTTAGGACATGTTGCCACTTCCCAAACCCTGGGCAAGTCCTAGATATTGACCTCCTGTAAATAGCGGTAATAGCCTAGATAATAGTCATAGATAATATTCACCGGTAATAGTCCTAGATATTGACCTCCTGTAATAGCGGTAGGTATAGGTAGCACCTATACCTACCGCTTTATTTAAAGACACTGGTGAAGGTAGATACCCCACAGCTAAAGCTGATTTAAGAAATGCGTTAAAAGTAGAGGTTTCAGTGAGAAATATTAAACCAGAAGCAACACTGATTGATGGATGTGCAATGATCCATAGCGCTTTATACTGGCCAAAAGGTGGTAAAGTGTCTGATTTATTGGTTTCTTTACGGTCGTATATTTTAAAGATCTTAGCTCAAACAGATGTTTATCTTGTGTTCGACAGGTACCATGATTATAGCATTAAATCAGATACCAGACAAGAAAGGTTATCTCAATTCCGACGATCTCATAACCTTAGTTCTTCAAGTCCTCTTCCAGCAAAAGAGATAGCCATGAAAGTGACAGATACTAAAAAGCAATTAATTGAGATGGCAAAAGATGACTTGCTCAAGAATATTCCAAACCATTCAAACAAACTGATCATTACAGCAGAAGCTGAAACACCATATCAAGTACATTTAGGAGTTCAGACGATAAGAAATGGTCTAAAGTCAAGACAGAAGGAAGCTGATGTGATTATCCCTTACCAAGTATCAGAAGCAATAGCCGATGGAAAAATCTGTTAAAGTAATTTGTGAAGACACTGATGGTTTTGTTTTGCTTTGTCACTGTTATAACATTAGAAACTGGAACATAGATGTTTATATGACTGATTTCACAGAAGGAAAAACATTATATCAATAAACGATACAGTAAAGAAACATAAACCATTGATCCCTGAATTTTTATATGTACATGCTCTATCTGGTTGCGACACTGTACCAATGTATTTTGGAATAGGAAAAAAGAAAGCTCTAAAAGTCGCTGCCACGTTGAAGTTATCTTTTCTTGGTGAAAAAGATGCCACTGAAGATCAGTACTTATCAGAATCAAGAAAATTTATTGCTGCATGTTGTAGTGCAAAATATGAGAGTTCCTCAAAAATAGGTACATCTAACTATTATAGTACATAATTTATTTTGAAGATAACTTATGTTTCTTTCAAAATGTAATAATAAGCCTCTAATTATTACTGTACTAATCTAAACAAATTTTGTTTCGGATTGTCTTTCTAATAAACTATAAGTTTCTGTTTCTTGCTGTAAAAAGATTAGGACGTTATTAATTTTGCTTCCATTGATGTTGAAAATAAAACTTACATCGTAAACATATAACTGAGAGCTGACTATATGTTTTAGCTTTGGTAATTATATGTTTTGATATGCTTTTTCTCCTATTTTTAACCTTAGACAGGTAATTTGGCAACGAAGAACCAAAGGAGCCAAAATAACGTCAAAATCTCCTGCTTTGAAATCCTTGCCACCAACAGATGACGTCCTTGATTTCAATATCAAACGTGCAAGATACCAACGTCTGATTTGGGGCTCCTGCCTTCAGTGTGATCCTCCGGCATATGACCCATGTAAGGTAGGGAAAAAAGACTTCTTATATCAATAACATATTGTGTCATGGAGGTGGGAAAAATGAATTTTACCCACAAATATATATGATTTAAGAATTCTTTTGTACTTTATTATCTTAGTATGGTTGGTTAAAAGATACTGAAACCAAAACGTTACAACCAATTATGATGCCTAGGGGAATGAAAGCTGCTCCTGATGAAGTGCTCAAAATTAACAGCTGTGGCTGCTCAGGTACTACTTTTAAATATAAAAAGCAATTCTTAGAAAAAATATTCCCAATCAAATACCTTCAATTTTAAATTAACTTGCAAACTTCAACGTTCATAAACATTGATTAAAGTTGTTATTATAGTTTTTCTTCTGAATGAAGTGTCATTAATATTTCATAGTAGGATTGACCATCACAACTAAGCATTTAAGGTAAAATAAATGCTGGGAAAATATGCTTTAAAAATTATATTTAATATTTAGTTTCTAAATGCAAGTCAATGGCCTGTTCCTGTGCAAAGTCACAGATTGGATGCACAGAACATTGTAAATGCAAGGGAGATTGTCGAAATATATGGAATGCCGGTGGCTATGCGGAAGATGATGGTGATAATTCTGGAGAAGAAGAATCAGCAAGTGAAGATGAAAATGAAACATGATAGACAATGTGATAGGATAATGTTTTATTAACCTGTTTTCAAAAATTAATGAAACATATATTGTAAATGTCACTTAATCGGTGTATATTTGGGTTTTTTAGTGAAAAAATGTTATGAATTGGCCTATCCAAAAGTTTTAATATCATCTAAATATATTGATTTGCATTAAGATTCGCTAAATAAAACGTCTTACAGGAGCTTATGCTAAAAAAATGATATAAGAAGTATTTTTGACTATCAAGTATTGAAATTTTGGTACCAAGGAATACACGGTTTTTCCGATTTTTCCCATTTTGCTAGTAGGTTATATTTTGCACTTGCCCAGGGTTTGGGAAGTGGCAATATGTCCTAAAATACTTTCATATGGTCCCTGAACACATTTCTGGAAAAAAGTTGCACTTAGTATTTTTGTCAAGGTACCCTTAACTCAGCCCCTGACTACTAGCAAAGACTAACGAGAAGACAACGCAAGTTGTGAAACAAGTTGATGAAACCCGCCATAACTAGAAGAAAATTTAACCAAATCGAAAAGTTTTTTAACTTTGCAATTTTTACATCACACCCAGTGTTGATATCGTAAACAAAATTTTTTGCTGACAGGGGCAATTTAACAGTTTCCGTTATGTTTCATTGCTCCATACGATGCGATGGAAGCGTATACTTTGTCTCTGCATGGAAAAAGAAATTGCTCACAAACGTTGCGTTACTATGTACGCATTTAGAGACGTACGCTTTTATTTCAAAACCAGTAAAAATACATCGCGATCTTCATGTTGGAAACATTCTTGTTGTAAATTTTAATCCAAGTAGTATCTCTGCGTTTGAAATAAAGATCACCGATTTTGGTCTTACGTGTAAGATTTATTCTAAGGAAAAACAAAATATTTAAGTTCAAGCCTTGAACTGCAATACTTGTTTAGTCAGTTAGGAAATATATATTTCAGAAATTTGACTCGAAATATTATTCCCTGGTCATGGAATAGCAGTCTTAAGTAGGATACTGTAAGATGCTATAAATCTTAGCTAAGAGTTCTATCGGGGTGAGAATTAATAAAGATGATTTACACAGTGCTGGAATCATACTTTATTTTCTATCGTGCTATGTGAAAGATAAAGACAACTGAAAAGACAAAATATCCGCAGCATTAATAGATAGAAATAGTCATCAAAAAAATTAGCGCATGAAGGAGAAAGAAAACTTAAGGGAAAAGATTTTTACATGTCTGGTTGGGGTGGAACCAAATAATCTTAGGAAAAATGTTGTTTCAAAGAGAAGTCTTAGAAACAGTTGCTGTTGCTTGGGAATTATTATAGAGGCTCCACAGGTGTGAGATTTCCGATGATTAGTTCGATTTATGTTAGCAAAGTAAGTGAAGCATATCCTGCCTGAAAATTTCTTCAAGACGACTGCCATTCAAATATAAAAGAACAAATTGAATCAAGAAAAAGCGCTATGTTATAGCAAAGAGACACGGCTTAAACCGATCTATTTTATTTACAACGTACCAGCAAACAAAGAAATGGTTATTATCTAGATCATCGAGTAATTTTAATTATTAATTAGTTTGGTCATGTGTTCTGTATACTTATATTGTTTAGTAGTTGGTAATTACCAGTGTAATCATAAATGTTCCTGCAGGTCTTTTCAATCATGTTTTAGTGTGTACATTTCATTAGCGACACTCACGCGTGAAACGAATGAAAAATTTCATTTGTTCAAGGAGTTCGTGTCAGTCACGCGTTGTTTGTGAAAAATCTCACGAGATGACTGGAAAATCCAAATGCATTTTAAAACTGGGAGTTATATCAGATAGCCGGAGTAATAATATATCAGTGGTACTCACATCTTGAGGATTTAGGTATTTATCAGTATTTATATAGAGATTAGTGAGATAACTCGTAACTACGATGAGATATAAACAATAACTGCCAGTCGTAATAACAAAAAATATGCACCTCTTTAAGGAAAACAAAATAGGGGATGGCAATTTAGTTTTTGTGTCATTTTCAACAGAAAAGTGCATTGATATGAATGTTCAAAGATATATTTCTTATTGGTTTTGCCTATGAGCAATCAAAAATGGAAATTTCAAGTTTTGGCTTGACGATACTTTGAAAACGTATTTGTTCTCTGTGTTTATATTACGAAGATTAGAGTGATTTTATAATTAATCCAGGTGATTAAAAGACGACGTTTCATTGGTAACGTAATCCATAATGACAATTATGATATGTAAAATACAATTTGCTCGAAGTCCACGTATAAGTTGCAGTATTTCATTGTAAAGCGTTTACAATGAAACAAAATCCATACTTTTCTACTGAGATTGTCACAAAGATCAAGATCCAGCTGATGTCAACATATAGTTCTTAAAACGTGCAATCCTGCGATTTAAAAGTGAGTCAGAGATTTTAATAAAATATTTGTGAAGACACCCTTACGAAAATTTCACATTTGATTTCACATATGAAATTGGAATTTCTTATATGAAATAGACATTTCATATATGAAGTGTTTCAATTTCACATAAGGTTTCACATATCCTTTCATATATGAAATTGAATCTGAACTTTTCGTAAAGGCAGACTGCAGATTTTGAATGGGTTTGAGATAGGTGTTTGCTCAGCTGTTTATACTTTGGTTGAGAAAGCCATTGATTTCTTCGATTGCCTAGAAAGCTATTAAAAGAATAAAATTCCATGCTTGGGAAAATATGAATCATAATATCTAACGACAAAGACAAGCAAAGATTGCGTTAACGTATATAAAGACAAGCAACAATTCATTGTACTACTACTGAGAATGGTTTGTAGTTTTTTTCAATATTAGCACTAACATGCTAAAACCACAATAAATTTTTTCAGGAATGACGGTGGTTTGGTAGACATAAATTTTCTGATTGTACAATACATTCGTTTATCGTATTGCCATGGTATTTTAAAAAGAAAGTTAAAGCCTTGATTTCTTTCTTCTTTCATATCTATGCCGTATTTGAATACAAACAAAATGTGGTTGCAATGGCGTCGAATTTACAATAAGACTAAACACACAATAATTCAAAAAAAGTTTTTGCCTTAGCAACGTTCCTATTTAACTTTGTAATGGCCTTTAAATATTACAAATCATTTTTGAATACAGTTAGTATAACGTTAACAATTGATAATATGTCTAAATTAAGTTTGTAATGCCATGGATATAAGTCACAAAATTTGCTTTCCTTGAAATATCGATTTGTGATTAGCTAAGTACTGTGACGCCATGTTACTCGTAAGGAGGTGCTATTTGATATATCAAAACGCAATTTCATACGTGCCATATATATCAACGAACAAATTAGATAAATCTCGAATCCCGTTAAAGCAAAAGCCGAACGAGAAAGTAGCTCATAGAAATCAGTTTCCTGGGGACAGGTTCAATCCTCTAAAAATGCAGCTATACAAGCAAGTAAAACTTTAAATCATCCATTTTTTAATTGTCCAACAGTTGAAAATGACAACATGCAATCACGAAACAAGATTAAACTTCATTCCATAAAAAATCGTCGACTAAAGAAATTCATGACTAAAATTATAGAGTTTTCTTTGCCACATATGTCTACCCAATTCGTTCATGCAAGTTGGAAGCATGTTAAGAAGGATTCAATAAACAAGTACTTCTTTCAAGTGTTTTTGTTTAAACTTTCAGGTGGTAAAACATGAATGAAAGTAATATACTCACGCTGACAATTATCTCACTTTGTGTTCTCATTGTTTTCATTGTGGCTGTAACATTAATCATTCATAAATTGAGAAGAAGGTGAGTGCAAGAACGACGTATCTACAAGCTCTTATACACTTCCATGGTCAGTTGCAGAAAAAAGAATAGCAATATCTACTGCATTGACACATATAGCAAACCGCTTATTTAATAATTTCAAAAATTGCAAAAGCCTAAAAAGTCTCGATTTAAACTATACAATAAGGTAACTATCTTGAAAAAATTAATTCGTATAAATGATAAAAAATATAAACACCGTTTTCATAAGTTTCTTATTAGCTTATGATTGGACAACACAAATTATAGTCTTCGTGCAACTAATCCTCCATAATATATATTCTTATTCTAAGATTTCCTTACTAAGAAATCGATTAAGACGTAAACGTTTGTAATATTTGGCCCATCATACCTAGCATAAAAATAATGAAGCTTGCTATGCATTAAAACCAGTTGCTAAACAAAAAACTGAATGTTCTATGTTCACACACACACGACTTAAGCCCATTTTTTATTATCTGTTTATGTACATAGATGCCAAAAGTCACATGAGAAATATGGTGAAGCGTACGTAAACCAAACCAACACAGAAGAAGAATGTGCAACACCGACAGAAACTGAGAAAGGAATGACTAATGTCGCTTTAGATGATGATGGTTTGGTATTGGAAACGAAACTGAGGACAACAGAATATGCGAATTTGAACATTAATGTAAAGGATGAAGTCATAAAAATTGAGGGCATCTCGGACGGTGCCTGATGCTACTAATTTGCACAATTTTTTCATTTGCCACCGTAAAAGATTAAAAGTAATGCTGAAAAACAGTCAGCAAGCAAATAACCATTGTTCTGTTTTTAAACATCTTATTATCATGAAATAAGATAATTCTGTATGAGTTAATGTCATTATAAGCTTTAAACATACTAGTTAAAGTCAAATGTATCTGTATAAGTTAATGTTTTCTTAAGCTTTACATGTACCAGTTAAAGTCAAAATATATTTTAATGAGTTAAAGTCATTTATATTTATTGACAGAAACATAAGGGATCATTTTTAGCAAGATCTGCAAGACAGATTTGTAAATAAGAAATCAATAAGAAACCAAATCTGATCACACATTTAAAGATCAACTCTGCATGAACGAAAATCTAACCCTGCAGTTTAATTTGTCCGTGAAAAATGTAAAAAAATTGAACTGATAGGAAAACGTCGCTAAATTTATCAGCAAAAACCAACTCAAACTACAAATTTTTGGGAAATAACAGGCAGAAAATGGCATAGACAGCCCTGAACTTTGGACGCAGATAAAGTAATTTTTGTGCCAAGCATGGAGAATAGCGATATCCGATATTATTGCCTATTCTTCCATAAAGATGAATGCTCTCATTAATATTTGCTTACGTCAACAAATTGAGATAACATTACAATTTATTTTAAAAATTTGTTTTCAAAAAAATTTATTTCGAAAGATTTAATATCCTAAAACCATCAATTGTCAAAAAACACAAAGAAGCCAACAAGGAAGACACACGACGGCTATAAGTGGTTTGCATGTTCAACCACTGCCTCCATATTTGTGGTCAAGTACAAAAGATTATTTTGTCAATTCTACTGCGGAAACTAGCCGCCATTTGCGAGTCAATTGTTTGATAATTGCGTGGAGGTTGGTTTAAATCTGGGAATACAACAAAAATAGGCTGATAACCGATGTTTTGCAAAAAAGAAAGCAGATTCAATGAAAATCGTATTCAAAGTTAATGATTTGATCTCTTATACCACACAAAGAGAAGTTTACAGCAACACAGCATGTTAGGTTTTAAAATTTTCGTAAGTACAGCAGTCAGGGGCCGGTTGCACAAAAGGTGGATAAGTCACTATTCAACGGATAACTCGCTATCCAATAGATAAAATTTTATCCATTATTTAATTTGCGTTGTATGAAGCTTGAATAACTTAATTCAGTGGATAAACATCGCTATCCACAGGAAAAATTTATCCAAGGCTTGGAGTTAGTTTAAATACAATATCCAATTGATAAAAATTTCGGGGTTGCGATTGAGTAAGTTGTTTTGAGGTTGAAATATACTATTTAAATGAAAAATGGCATTATATAGAATGCCTGGTTTGCAGTTTCTTGATAATTCTAAAGTCCAAGCTCGTGTGGGGAGATTACTGCTTAGCTTCGTTTCGGCAGATAACAATGACATCGGTCTGAATAATTCTTGATATCATGCTCAACCTCATCCAATAATTGCTTATTATCTTTTTAGTAGCTACCATATGGAAGGAATACTTTCACACGATTATTATAAGTGTATGATAATTTATGTAAATATGCAAAAAAATAATTAAATATGTTTATCCAGTGGATAGTTTACCCTACTATCCAAGTTTCGTGCAACGCATTTTCATCTATTGGATATGTATCCACAAGATAGGAGAGTATCCTATCGATAAGAGTTATTCATTTCCAAACTAAATCTTACACACAGAAAGTAAAGATCTAACATTTGAAAAAGGCCGAAGGCAAGATCCGTGTTTAACACTCTACCTTAATAAAATTTTGCCATATAAACTCCACCAATATCAACGACATTACAAAATTTCAAAGAACCTGATTTTGAATCAAACAATTATGTTAACAAAGTTAATTTGAATAGTGCAGGAATAGTTTTGTATTTTCTTTCGTGCTATAATATTATAATAGAGAAAGTAAAGGCAAATGGAAAGAAAGAAATATCGGCCTTGGGAGATGGCAAACGTCACGGGGAAAACTTAGCACATTCCGATGATGAAACAGTAACGGAGATGATTTTTTTGCGTCTTGTTCAGAAAGAACTAGATCGTCGTCCAAGTCTAAGAGAACCTCTAAAAATAGTTGAGGTTGCTTGGGAAAATGTAAACAAACGATCCATAGAGGTGAAATCAACGAGAAATAAATCCAAAACAAAAGAAAGATTATGTTCGTAGGGTAGGCGAGGATATAATCTCACTAGAATCTTTCTTGGGAACAAAAGCCTGCAAATCTTAAATCATAAAAATGTGATTATTGATGTTGTGGAAACGTTTTTTATATCTTCATACGAAGAAACTTTTGAAATATTTCAGAGTTCTGATGTGTTGGAAAGAAGGTAATTATTAAAGTTGCCCACGCTGAATCTCAAATGGACGTTTATATGGAAAGTTTGTAATTAAGTTGTCAAAAAAATATATCCTTTACTGGTTACATACTCCTTTGTAAACATTAAAATATTTAACAAAATCCACTCTATTTTTTCACACTTATTAACTACTAACCCAAGTATTAAAACTAGGTACGCATACCATACATGAATCTGCAGCACTTTTATCAACTCTTTCCACGAAGAATTCAAAGAGATCAACGAAAACTTCACCAAACAAAAATTTTATGTATTAAAAAAGTTTTTTGAACAATGCCGCTAAATGTATTGCAATTAATGCTGAAAAATAATTAGGCTATTCAAATGTTGTAAAATAGTATGCAAGGAGGTAGGTTACCCCAAATATTTGTTTATGACATGAAAATATTTTTGTGTTTATTTACTGGAAAAAAAGAAGCGAAGGGAGATTTCCAAAGAAATGAATGATGATTTTGCTTAAAAGTTTTGATGGCAACATCATTATAGTTGCTAACAGTTTTAAAAAATCTTACGAAAAGGTTATTGTGGCTACCAAATTGGTAATATCCACTTCATATGTAATGGCAAAATCATACTCAAGGATTTAAAGGAAAATATGTATTTTAAGGTCTATTTTATCTTCTCGTATTATTAAATCTCGTTTTATGGTAAGGTTATTACGCTCACCCAGTATGAAGCGTTTTTACTTATTTCCAATGGATGAACACGACAATGAAGAAAGAAGCCATATTGGTGATCCAAAAAAACAACGTCATTAATAAATATAAAAGAATTATCGAGTTATTCATCTCAAATGTAAATATAGACGACTTTCTTTTCATTATTTTTTCATGACTTTTAGGCAAAAAATGATCTAATCGAATAATACCTACAATCCTCAATTCATCACGGTCAGTGATTTCTTTTTTAGCAATTTCGCTGGAATGAAATGCCATATATTTTTTTTGCACTTATGGCCTTTTTTCAGTTAATTGTTTGGCTTGAATTTTACTACCAATAATAAAATCAGATAAATCTGTTAATATATGTGGATCTCATTGAAAAGAGAAAAAGTTTGGTCACCATGTTGATTATCCAAGCGACTAAGCAATATTGCTGAAAGTCTTAATTATTGAAAAGTGTAATTATGCAATTCTTTTTTACTGTAATATGTGTTTCGCTCGTATTGGAAAATTTATCTAGGTTTGACAAATTTGCAAGAAACCAAGAACATTTGTACAACGTGTTTTTGGTGTGATTTATTCACATACATGTGTATTAATACATTTTCATCTACTGTCACACGAAATGAAAAAACTGCATAATACCCCCAGCTTATATATATATATATATATATGTAATACACTTTGTATATTACGCTCACTGCACGTGCGTAGTTTGAGCACTGTCGGATTGTGTAGAGAGTCTCCTATGGAGATGTTCACTGTGTTCGCGTATGCAAAGCTCACCTCTATAGGTTTGAGCACTGTGGTGACTCTACAATACATTCCATACAATGTGTAACCGCACGTCCTGTGTCCCAAGTGAAGGAGTCACCATTTTAATATGGTGATAGCCGGGAGGGCACATTGTAATACACTTCGTATATTACGCTCACTGCACGTGCGTAGTTTGAGCACTGTCGGATTGTGAAGAGAGTCTCATATGGAGATGTTTACCGTGTTCGCGATATGCAAAGCTCACCTCTATAGGTTTGAGCACTGTGGTGACTCTACAATACATTCCATATGATGTGTAACCGTACGTCCTGTGTCCCAAGTGCAGGAGTCACCATTTTAATATGGTGATAGCCGGGAGGGCACATTGTAATACACTTTGTATATATATACATACATATTGATAAGAAGAAAATACACAAAAACTACATTTTCATCCCGACAAGCCTTTTTCGACAAGCCTGTTTTCTTCTTCTTATCAATATTTACGCGCTGCTCTCGGGCATCGAGCACTGTTTTATACGGAAAATCATAAATTATAAACTTCCTATATACATATATATATATATATATATATAATATAGGCATTTAAACATATTTTATAGTATTTCTTTGTCTTTTTCGGATTATTAACACTTTAGGAGATGTTCACCGTGTTCGCGTATGCAAAGCTCACCTCTATAGGTTTGAGCACTGTGGTGACTCTACAATACATTCCATACAATGTGTAACCGCACGACCTGTGTCCCAAGTGAAGGAGTCACCATTTTAATATGGTGATAGCCGGGAGGGCACATTGTAATACACTTCGTATATTACGCTCACTGCACGTGCGTAGTTTGATCGTAATTGATCGTTTTTTACGTATTTATAATTTTTGCATCGGCTATTCCTAAAGTGTTTAAACTTTAGTAGTTTTCTCTCATATATACATAAGGAATAAATTTAGTTATGCATGCAGTTTTATGATTATTATTAGTCTTTATAGAGCACAATTGGTAAAGTTTATCATCATGATCTAAATTACTGTATTGAATATTAAATTATGGAAATAGTCATTTGCCGAGTGATTCAATATATTTACAGTTATCCATGGCTGACAATTTGATATTTACTGTAATACACATTAGTTAGAACTGGATTTGCATTGGGTTGACATTGAATTGTTCCCGTTCCATCACAAACTGAAAGACCTCCTGAACTATCAAAAATGAGAATTATTGCAAAGCCCATGTGAAATGTCAGATCCAGAATTTTTACTCTCAAACTTAATGTCGAAATTAAAGAGCCTTCCATAGAGTAAATGAAGATTTTGTTTTCTACGCCTAGAAGAATTTCATTGTTGTTAGAAAGAGTCAATGCATGCATTCTGACTGGTAGAGTGAATTTGTTCTGTAATACCCCGTTGCTGTCAAAAACAATGACTTTTGATGACAAGAAGAAATTTCCCAGCAACACCAGGTAATGGTTGAGAGCTTGAAATCTTAGAATGGGAATAAGATCTAGAAAACGTTTTAAAGGGGCAGTCTCTATAGAATTCGAAATGTTTTTATTATTTGTCAAACTCAAATGTTTGTCAAAAATTATTAAAGTATATTGGTCAAGGTAGGGTAATGGCAAATTCTTGAGAGCCTCTACTGGCACGAACATACTTTTTCCTAATATGTAGAGACTATCATGTTCATCCAGTGTACAAGCCAAAATTCTGTCTACTCTGAAAATGCCTTCGATGATCTTCACATCATCATTTTTCAAAACTTCAATTTTGTCATAGTAGCAAGCGATAATCTCACCACGACTGTTAACACTGTAATGCTTAGTACTTAACGATGGATAGGCGCATATGAGCTCATGGGGAGATGTAATTAACATTTCATTCCAAGACAGGGGAGTAAAGATTTTGTACCAATTCAATATTGGATTAAACTCGCTTCCATGTTGAAGCTCAATCGATGGCCAAGTCTTTGCATCACGAAAACTGTTGTTGATACTCATAATAAACTGATTTAAGTTATAGTTAAGAATCATCACTGATTTTATAATCTCCTTTCGTTGGGATTCTGCGATCATTGATCGCAAGCCACCGCCGATTTGAACAGAGAACATTTTACGAACCTCTTTCAATTGATGCAGCTTTTTCATATAAAGTATACACAAATCAATGGCATCATCTAGAGTCTCAAAACGTTCCAAAATTTGCGCCACAATCATAATCTTTACCGCATGTATTCGGTCCATCAATGTTAAGCCTTCGTTACTGAATGCTTCGTTTGCTTTTTCACGGGAATTCTTAAAACGATCTTTTGCATCTTTAAAGTTTGTTGACCCAGTCTCCAATTTATCACAATTTTGAATAAATTGTTTAATTTCTGTGATGGCGTCACAAGCTGCTACCAGTCTTTCATTGTCATATTTGTCATTACTTTGTTTTAACTCATTTTTTTTTATTCTGACAAAGCATTTAGAAAGTAAAAGAAATCCTTGCTCCAAGTATTCGCAACTTACAACAAGATCTTTTTTTGAAAGACTTTCAACCTTCTTTTTGATGTCTTGTAAGTCTCGTATGATTAAATTGCGAAATCTTTCATCAGCTATGTCACCATATCGAAGCATGTCTGATGCATCATCTCGAACTTTGTTCATCAATAAGTCGAACAGTGAAGACACAAACTTTTCGAGAGGCATTTTGTCATTGAAGTTTTGCTACTCGCAGAATCTGTCAAATTTTTCAGTTGCGCGTATCCGGCAAAGTCTCTCTGATCTGGTTATGCTGTTGAAGAAGCAAATATATTAATTTTCGATGTACATTCTACACATAATTCAAACCAATTAGTCAACAATTACACAGACACTATTGTAATGGTTCATCACTTCACAGCACGTAAATTTTACAGATATGCTTGGTATTAAACTTTCTTTACCTGCAATAAGATAGAACTGGCAATTGATTTAAAAGTAAACTGTGGCATTTTCCATGATTTGTCGTTGAATTTGATTGATATTAGTACAAGATAGAGTAAGTCAAAAATATGCAATAAACATTGAATTTTTTTGTGATAGTAGAGTCATCTAGAAAAAATGACTCAGAGGGCGATTAGCATTCTAGTTATGCCACATTAAAAAGTAACGAAGGTCAAGTGGTAAAGTAAAATATGCAAGTTGTTCTGTTACAAAAAGAAGCCCAAGTGATATTGACAAAATGACATAAATATATATTGTCTTTACTTGAAAAATCATTTGCCAAAGGAAACAATAGGAACACCAATTTTAATCTAAAGTCTAAAACTAAAGTCAAATATAAACATTTCTTCAACTTCTGCCAAAAATTGCTACGCGATTTTGACAAAATGCAATGATTCCCCAAAAATCTTCCCACTGTTGCAACGCCCCAAAGCAATGAATCAAACTCTCTTACACCAAATTACTATCATATCAACACGTTATAGCAAATGAATTTCGAGATTATGTAGTTCAGACAAGGTCTAAATGGCAATGATTTTAAGCAATACAATTAAACACCGGCTTGCTAAAGAAAACGAGAGCACACATGACTGATGATTGCATAAATACCCTCTATTTTTATCTATCGTATAAGAACGCTGTGTTAAAAATGGATTTTTTAATTGTTTAATAGAATCGTCTAGATTCGAACGCGACTTTGAGCACTTGAAAGCAACGCCATCTCCCACACAATCTAACACTGCCAACTGAAGCTGGCATGTAAACATTTTAAGTCATATACTTTCTATGCTGCAAAGACAAAATTATATCTGAGCAGATTATACACATCTTAATTCTGCCTATTTTATCATTCATATGTGAGCATTTTTTTATGTCAATGTGATACTGATTATGAGAGAATTTTACCAAGCAGTGACAGCGATGACGATACCCAACAAATTTCTGACGATGACCACGCAAGTTCTGATTCTAATCGTGAAAATAGCCCCGCAGACGCAAGCGATGGAAACATGTCATCAAGTTATTACGATCAAAACTTATCGATACTTATCGATCAAAACCTTATTCATGAAGAAATATCCTCATAAATTATGTTGTTTGCAATTTTTTGTTTTTGAAATGCAGAGCAGGAACAATTTGTTATATGAACTTTTACGCCTGAAAGACATGAAGCAGTCATATAGCATCATTTTGAGCCTGAAAAATGTTTTGGCTGCTGTCAAAAAAAATTTTGAGATTATGTAGTTCAGACAAGGTCTAAATGGCAATGATTTTGATTTTAAGTAACACAATTAAACACCGCAAAATCTTCCCACTATTGCAACGCCCCAAAGCAATGAATCAAACTCTCTTACACCAAATTACTATCATGTCAACACGTTATAGCAAATGAATTTTGAGATTATGTAGTTCAGACAAGGTCTAAATGGCAATGATTTTATGCAACACAATTAAACACCGGCTTGCTAAAGAAAACGAGGGCACACATGACTGATGATTGCATAAATACCCTCTATTTTTATCTATCGTATAATAACGCTGTGTTAAAAATGGATTTTTTTAATTGCTTAATAGAATCGTTTAGATTCCAACGTGACTTGAGCACTTGAAAAGAACGCCATCTCCCACACAATCAAACAGTGCCGACAGAAGATGGCATGTAAAGATTTTATTGTCGATTTCAGTTAACTTTCCAATGGCGGTTGCCAAGTTACTTTCTAATTTTGCCAATTACATCTCCAAATATGGAATGTTCGTTATGAACTTGTCAACTTAAGTTCACAAGTTGTGTACTTGAGTACTGAATTGTGAACTAAAATTGCGAAGTACTAGCAAACGCGAAAGGTCTTTGTACCCTGTAGACATTTGGCAATGAATCCGTTCAGTAAGCAAGGAAAAGCTTTAGCAATTTTAATCCGTTTGACGGCCCTCTAATAGCGCCACATTATGTAATAAATTTACAGTAAATGTGGCACTAGAAGCGTATCGTTGGATTTTAAATACAGGAGTACTCTGCATACTGTGCCCTCGACGTCTGTTGCCACTCATAACAACTACAGACGACTTATCAAAGAAATGCATTCGGCTGCAATCAATCAATGAAATATTTGCTTATGTAAGCTTCTAACATCTCCATAACGCCCGGCTGTTCTGTCTCTCGAGTAGTTTGACTTATTATTTTGTAAGTGTAACCAAGATCTTTATTCAAAATTCTACTAAAGCATGACCTTCTAGGTATGTTTGCTGGAAGGCAAACTTTGTTACTTTCTAGTTGTTGCTTAATCTCTTTTGCATAAATAGATGGTTTATTATTTTTTAGGTATTCAGTGTATGCAATAATGTCATCTGTACGCGTGGTTCGAACATCACGTTCGCTCTGGCGTGGTGCAATAGAACCAGTGTTTACCCATAGATCTATTATATTTGATATAGTCTTATACGGTAGGTTAAGTTGTTTCGAAACGTTTGTCAAACGCTCGTTATTTAACCACATTTCAAGCACTTCATTTCTTACTTCTATTTGTAAAGCTTTTCCTTGCTTACTGAATGGATTCATTGCCAAATGTCTACAGGGTACAAAGACCTTTCGCGTTTGCCAGTACTTCGCAACTTTAGTTCACAACTCAGTACTCAAGTACACAACTTGTGAACTTAAGTTGACAAGTTCATAACGAACATTCCATATTTCGAAATGTAATTGGCAACATTCGAAAGTAACTTGGCAACCGCCATTTGAAACTGAAATCGACAATAAGTCATCTACTTTCTATGCTTCGCAGACAAAATGATATTTGAGGATAATATCTGATATTTGATGTTTGATAGTTGATATTTGCGTTCATATTAAAAAGCAAACGATACGTCCTTAATGCATATTTAATTGGCAGTGTAGATAAAGAAATTTAGCTAGCTCAGCAACCTTCAGTTATTTTTGTGCATTACCTATAATCTTTTGAGATTGTTTAATGTATGTAAAGAACAAGATGCAATTTTTCAAAAATGCTTACCCTATCAAGCACTACTATTCTATAATGAACGAATTACTTACAGTTACCGCTACTAATTATTGTATGTACAAACTAACAATTGGAATTAAATGATAAACAATTTGATGAATCTTTGTATTTTACATCATGCCTTTGAATTTGTTCCTTTTATCTCTTGATAAAAATAGCAATGAAAGACTTACAAATCAAGTTTCTCCAAAATAGTGTTTTATACAAAGAAACTAATTTAGTTTAGCTAAACATATTGGAAAGGTCAAATGTTGAAGATAGAGTTTTCTTCTTTGACTAGGTTGCTTTACTATGAGAAATTTAAATTTGTTTTGAGTATTCTTTTTATTCATTTCTTCTACTAATTCTTCATAAGACAAAAAGAAGTTCTTTGCTATCTATTTCTGCTTCTTCTACTTTCACCTTCATTGTAACCAATGCATCCCATGTGAATTTTAGGATCACCTGGAAGTATACCAAGTATGGATTTTGTCAGATAAGGCAATGTGTTTAATTTTTCATGCATATAAATGATATAATCATAAGTTATTGTCGAAAAAAATTTCAAGGTAGGAGCAAATCTTAGCACATTGTTCAACACACTTCTTTTATCTTGGTTTTTATGTATTAACCTGTTTACTATAACAGTAAATACTTCATTTACAGAAACACTAAGTGGCACTTATTAAACTGTTTGCATAAAGCCAACTTTGCAATCCCATTATGATTGTCTACAGTCAATCAAATTGAGCAGGCAAGCAGTTTAATACAGTTATTTTTATTATAAAACATAAACTACAGTGTTCATTAATTTTGCATGGCACTGCATTCAATTTCAACAAAACTCTGTTTTAAACTTTTCTTTCATATTTTGCAAAAACAATACGAACAAATTTTGGAGGCTAACTCAGTTCACATCAGGAGAGTATAGCTTGATCATGATGCAAGATAGATGCGAAACTCGATAAGAATTGACTGCTTTGCCTTGTCTGGCAAGCAATTAAGTAAAGAACAAACAAGACTGGAAACACAAAATAGTCAAAATACTGAACACTTTTTCTGTCGCTATTTCGGCATCCGCATACCAAGGAAGTGTACAGATTGTTTATTAAACAAAATTTTAAAAAAGTTTAAATAAATAGTTTTGATATTTTCTATACTCGCAATCGTGGTGGTCAAATCCGGGTGGGCGACAAAATTTTTTTTAATGAGCCTGCGTGTTTCCACTGACTTTGACCACCAAAATTCGCCATGTTTTTGACCACGGGCCGCGCGAAGTTGAAGCCGTTTTTTGTAGGTAGTTCTTTGTAAGCTTAGTTTTTCAAAAAATACACTTTTTATATCGCTAAATTTTACCTTTTTTCTGTTTGTTTAATACCTTCAATATTTAGCTTTGACTATAGTTAGAGGCATTAGATTTTTCACTTAAGTAACTACACAGAACAAAGGTCGTTTCGTCCCCATTAATTTATCTTATTTCCTTAATTATCATTGTTGTAATTTTGTATCATATTACTTTTATATAAACCATGCATTATTTATTATTTCACTTATACTGAAGATGTCATCACGAGATGTCGAAACATGTCTATTTTAAAAAAAACTCGCCGTATATATTAAATACGCAAAATACTGTTTATTGTATTCTCAGATGCCCTACTTATATATCATCTCATTGACGTCTTCACGATTTCGCCCAAGCAAATGCTATAGAGCAAACAGAAAACATTTTACTTGTTCCTATTGTGTGATAGAAATTGAAAGTTTGGGAGGGCTTGAAATTGCTTGAAAACACTCGCACTTAGCGTGCTCGAGCTGGCCAGTTGTC